GTAGTACACTGGGGGACAGTACCGGTGGGGACAGGTCTGTCACTGTATGTGAGCATGAAAGCTGCGCTAGCTGAAATAATTTAAAAATTAGGAGTTATCCTTTCAGGAGCGTGATGAGGGAGATTTTTTCTCCGAGAGGGCTGTGTGACTTTGGAATTACCATATTGATTGTAATGTTTGTGTTGGGTTTTTTTCAGAATGGATGGTCATGGTTATGGAGCTTGGACTGAGCCAACTTCTCAAAGCCAGTGCCTGGCTCAGACAGATGAAGATCAAATGCACCTGTCAGATGTGGAGCAGGACGCAGCTAATTGGCAGCAACTGGTGAGCCAGGACATCCTATCTGGCCTGAAACCACATGAGATCAAGCGGCAAGAAGTTATTAACGGTAAGACAGTCAGGGTTGTCTGACTTCTCTTTTGAGTTTGGGCGGCTGCTGGGTGCGTAGGGAGTGCCTTGAGGCAGTGGGAGTCAGGGGAAGGTGGGTGGAAGGTGTATGAGCTTGGAGTAGGCTGGAAATCACCTTGAGCTTTCTGGGTTTTTGGGAGTGTAATGCCAGGAGTGTTTTGTGGCTGAGTGGAGCTGGGAACATCTCTGGTTTGTGGGGGATCTGTTTTGTGATTGGGGATCATAGTGACAGTAGAGTTATGGGGCTTATTAGGATCAGCCAAGTATGGAGAGGTTGCAGGGGGTTAGATGAAGAAGAGGCAAAGGAGTGAGTACAGTGGACCTCACTGTGCACGGTACATAAAAAAACCAAAAGAACTGCAGACCGTGGAAATCAGAAACAAAAACCAAAATTGCTGGACCAAAGAAGGATCACTGGACCTGAAATGTTACTTCTGTTTTCTCTCCGCAGATGCTGAGTCTTTCAAGCAGTTTCTGTTTTTGTCACTGTGCACAGTGTTCTCTAAAATGATTTTAGGAAATCATGTGAGAGTGTACTATGGATTCTACTCTACAATTTATCTCTCTAATCGCCAATTTGTATTTTTGCCTCTGATAATTTGGTAGAACTTTTCAACACTGAACGTGCTCACATCCGAATGCTGAAAGTTCTGGATGTAATCTTTTACCAGAAGATGATACGAGATAGCAGCTTACCAGCAGCAGAAGTGAGGAGCATATTTTCCAACCTCGATGAAATTCTGCAGCTTCACAGTAAGTCAGGGTTGTGAAGGGACTTGTAGCCGTTCCAGGAACATATGAAATAGAAGCAGGAATGCATCATATGGGCACCTCAAGCCTGCTGTTTAATAGGATCATGGCTGATTCTTGACCTCCATACAACTTTCCCACCTCACCTTCATAATTCCTGATCCCTTTAGTGTCCAAAAAATCCCGTCTATCTGTTGCTGTCAACCTTAAACATAGTGACTGGTCATCCACAACCCTCTGGTGTAGAAGGTTCCAAAGGTTCACACCTTCTGAGAGAAGAAAATAGACCTCATTATAGCCCTAAATAGACAACCCGTAAAACGATTGAAATTGAGCGGGATTGATTTTCTAGTTGACTGCCATGGTAACTGGTAATTAAAGTTATTTCAGACTTCAAACACATCTCTGTGGGACTGTGCAAACACAGCCCGTTTGCTAGCATCACAGTGCCATCCTTACTGGCAGAAGTGGTGGCACAGTGACACACAGTCAAATGGGTGTGGCCCCGGGATTCATGATCATTTACTTCAGATACCATGAACTGTCATGGCATCAGGTTAGCCAGGAAGGAAACCTCCTGCTGATTACCACCTAATGCGTCCCATAGCTGATGAACTTGTTGAACAACACTTGGAAGGATCTCTGAGGGTGACAATGGCACAGAATGTACTCTGGGTGGGGATTTCAATGCCCAATGCCAGGATTGGTTTGGATGCAGCATAACTGGCCAAGCTGCTCGAGTCCTAAAGGACATTGCTATTGGATTGGATCTGCTGAGGGAACTAACAAGAGGGTAAAACATACTTGACCTTATCCTCATCAGCTTGCCTGGCACTAATACATCTATCCATGACAGTATTGGTAAGAATGAGCAGTGCACAGTGCTTGAGATGAGGTCCTAGTCACGTTATGCATTAAAGGTTTGGATGAAGGAACCGAGGGCATTATTGCTAAGTTTGCATATGACACGAAGATAGGTGGAGGGACAGGTTGTGTTGAGGAATCTGGAAGTCTGCAGAAGGACTTAGGCAGGCTAGGAGAGTGGGCAAAAAAGTGGCAGATGATCTGATCCGATCAGACCACAGTAGGAATATTGTGAGCAGTTTTGCGCCCTGTATCTAAGGAATGATGCGCTAGTGTTACCTTCACATTGAGAATAACCTTCATCGTGTTCCTTAGCGCTATCACCGTGCTAAATGGGACAGACTTAAAACAGATCTAACAGCTCAAGTCTGGGCATCCTTGAGGCGCTGTGGGCTGTCAACAACAGCAGTGTCATATTCTGACACAATCTGCAATCTCATAGCCATAAGATATAGGAGTAGAATTAGACCATTTGGCCCATTGGGTCTCCTCTGCAATTCGATCATGGCTGATTTCTTTCCCAATCCCATTATCCTGCTTGCTCCCCCTCGCTCTTGATCCCTTTACTAATCAAGAGTCTATCTATCTTTCTCTTAAATACGCTCAATGACTTGGCAACCTCCTAGTCTCTCCTACTTGTGGAAATATCTTCTCCACGTCCACTCAATCCAGGCCTCTGAGAATTCTGTAAGTTTCAATCGAGTTCCGAACCAGAGTGCTTGACTGCTCCTTATATGACTAGCCCGTCATCCTGGGATCGTGCTTGTAAAACTCTTCTGGACCCCCTCTAACACTAGCGCATCTTTCCTTGTTCCAAATGTGGTCTGATCAGAGCCTCATACAGCCTCAGCAGTACATTTCTGCTCTTTTGTTCTAGATGTGGAGGTGCTGGTGTAGTGTAACTTCTGACCTTGTATCCTAGTCCTCTTGAAATGAATGCCAACATTGTGTTTGCCTTCCTAATTGCCAACTGAACCTGCATGTTAACCTTAACAGAATCATGACCTAGGATTCCCAAGACCCTTTGTGCCTCAGATTTCTGAAGTCTTTCCCATTTAGAAAATTGTCTATGCCTCTATTCTTCCAACCAAAATGCATAACCTCACACTTTCCCACATTGTATTTCATCTACCACTTTTTTGCCAACTCTCCTAGCCTGCCTAAGTCCTTCTGCAGACTCCCAGATTCCTCAATACAACCTGTCCCTCCACCTATCTTTGTGTCATCTGCAAAATTAGCAATAATGCCCTCAGTTCCTTCGTCCAGTTCTTTAATGTATAATATGAATAGTTGTGGTCCCAAACTGACCTCCGTGGAACTCCAGTAGTCACTGGCTGTCATTCTGAAAAAGACCCCTTTATCCTTACTCTCTGCCTTCTGCTAGTCAGTCAATCCTCTATCCATGCCAGTGCCTTGTCCCTAACACGATGGGCTCTTATTTAGCAGCCTCCTGTGCAGCACCTTATCAAAGGCCATAAGGAAATCCAAATAGATCACATTCACTGGCTGTCCTTTTACTAACTTGCTCAATACCTCCTCAAAGAATTCTAACAGATATGTCAGTTGTGATTTTCCCCTTGATGAAGCTGTGCTGACTCAGCCCTGTTTTACAATGCATTTCTAATTACCATGCAATCTCGTTTTTATTAATGGACTCTAAAATCTTACCAATGACTGAGGCAGGCTAGCCAGCCCATAATTTTCTATTATCTGTCTATCTTCCTTCTTAACCACGATGTTACATTAGCCATTTTCCAGTTCTCTGGGGCCCTCCCTAACTCCAGTGTTTCCTGAAAGATCATACAAATGCCTTTACAATCTCCTCAGCTATCTTCTTCAGAACTCTGAGGTCTGGTGCATCCAGTCTGGGTGATTTATCCACCTTTAGACCTTTCAGCTTCCTCATCACTTTCTCTGTTGTGATGACCGCTACACTTGTCTCTGCCCTCTGACTTTTGAAGTTCTGGTATTCTGCTGGTGTCTTCCACCATGAAAACTAATGCATTTTACCTATTTAGTTCTTTTTGTTCCCCATTACTTGTTCTCCAGCCTCATTTCCAGTGGTCCAATGTCCACTCTTGCCTTTCTGTTTTTGTTATCTTATAAAAGACGACGAGTTTTTTTTATTACTAGCTAGTTTACCCTCATATTTCATCTTCCCATGCTGTCTTTTTTTTTTAGTTATCCTCTGCTGGTTTTTAAAGGCTTTCCAATCCTCTGGTTCTCACTAATTTTCACCGCATTGCTTGCTTTTGCTTTTATGTTGTCTCTGACTTCCCTTGTCAGCCATGGTTGCTTCATCTTCCCTTTAGTATGTTTCTTCTTCCTTGTGACAAATTTCTGCTATGCCTTTCAAATTAGCCTCAGAAACTCCTGCCATTGCTGCTCCACCATCTTCCCTGCTAGGCTCCCCTCCCAGAACATCATACCTGCCAATTTTAAACTGTGCTACAAGCTCATTTGTATTGTATTTTGCATGCATTTAAGTACATGAAATTGTGATGTTCTTTCTATGATCTGGTGAGAACTGTGTATGCAAAACCAGCTGTGGTCTAATCTGTCTTGTACAGATCCAGTATTACATCCCTGCTTTTGTATTCAGCACCTCATTCGTGAAGGGATCCATCCCATTTGTCGTCTTCACCACCTAATCTGCCTGTCCTGCCACCGTTAGGGATCTGTGGACAGGCACACCAACTCACTTCTATTCCTCCTGTCAATATCCTCTTGCTTTGTTTGCCCTCCCCAAGTATATAACCTCACTCTTTCCTGGATTGAATTACATTTACTACTTTCCTGTCCACTCAACCAAACCATTGCTATCACCCTGCACTTGCTCTCCATTTGCTTCTGCGTCGACTGTCTGACCAATTTTTGTTATTTCTGCAAATTTCCCAATCATGCCTCCTACTTTAATTCCTTGAAACACCTTGAAAATTGGGAAAAATTGGATCAAATGTTTGATATTCTGAGCTCTGTTTATTTTTCCAGTTTCATTAAATGAACAGATGAGAAAAGTCTGGAAAAGGAATGAAAACTTTGTGGTTGATCAGATTGGAGAAGACTTGCTGAGCTGGGTAAGTCTATCTGTGTTAACCTTGAGAAGAGGTTGCATGGAACCTTACTGAATGAAGAACTGCAGAACACCGCTGAAACAACTCTTCTACAGTGACTGAAATATCTGGATTCAGTTGCTGAACATTAACAGATTCATATTAAAACATGTAGAAGTCAGGGCTACGTAACATTCCAGTTGGACCGTAAATACTTTGTGTTACCAGTCCTAACTGAAGTTGAAAGAGATCAATTTGTCTGCAAAAGATAACCCTCTGGTGTTGGAGTCATAGATGGTTGAGATTGTTGGAGGTCAATTGTCTTAGCCCCAGGACATCTCTGTAGAGGTTGCTCAGAGCAGTGTCCTAAGCTTAACCGTGTCTAATTGTTCTATTAGTGATTTCTCCTCCATCGTTCTAGGAGAGAATTATCCACTGGTGATTGCACAATATTTAGTTTGATTCACAATTCCTCCAGTAGCAGCTCCTAACATTCTGTATCACAATCAGGATAATATCCAGACTTTGTCTCAGGTGGAAAGGAACATTTGACCATTAGATAGACAGTCCAACTGTCTGTGTGACTTCCATGGACACCAATCAATAAAATTTTCTGAAGAAGGGTCCAGACCCGAAACGTCAGCTTTCCTACTCCTCTGATGCTGCTTGGTCTGCTGTGTTCATCCAGCTCTACACCTTGTTATCTCAATCAATAAGTCCCAATTGTTGACATCTTAAGAGTCATTGTTTGCCGTGGGTTTAACAGGATCAACACTAGATTAAAGTGTTAGGGCTAGGGATTAGGTCAGAGGCTGGAGGACAGACAAGAGCCTCACTACTGACTCCCTCAAAGCCTTCCATCAGCTAAAGGCTCTGGGTCAGGAGGGTGACAGAACACTGGACAAATGCAAGAGCATTGTCAAAACACTTTAGGACACAGGTGATTCATGCATTTTCTATTGGCTCTGTACCCTACCCCTCTAGCATTAGCTCACTTTGGCTGTAGTGTGTACCATATACAGTGTACACTTTGGAACTTACTGCATATGTGCAACCTGTGATGTCCACCATCAACAACATTAATTCTGATTTTCTTCCACATTTAACGTCAATCTGATTTAAGCATCTGTTACCCATTTGTAATTATCCCAGGGTCAAAGGCTTTGGGTTCTCTTCCCAAGAGTCACCACATGGTCTGTAATGTTTTAATAAGGAGGTATCTCTCCCTTTGGTTAATTAGGGATCAGCAATTTCTAACCATAACCTAAATACCAGTCTTGTCATCCTTGTCCAAATCTCAAAAAAATGCTAAACGATCCCTTTTCTAAGATTGTGAATTTTGCCTTGTATGGAATTGACATTTTTGTACTGTTAACTGGTTCATGTTTGCTGCCTGTCTGAATAAATCCTGATTGATTTTTCTAGTTCAGCTGTTCTGAAGAGGAGAAGTTTAAACGAGCTGCTGCCACTTTCTGCAGTAATCAGCCATTTGCCCTGGAACTCATCAAATCAAAACAGAAGAAAGATGCAAGATTCCAGGCAATCATTCAAGTGAGAGCCTCCAAATCCTAACTGCAAGGCATGAGAAGGGTTTGAAATGCTAGGTATTAATAAGACAGCAGGACAAGTCCCCAAACACACTCAAGGCAGGTGCAGTATGGGTTAGATGCAGAATGAAGTTTCCTCTACACTCTCCATATCAAACACTCCTAGGTCAGGTACAGTGCAAGCTTAGATACAGAGTAGAGGTCCCTCTATACTGGCCTCATCAAACACTCCTTTCTTTCTTGACCATTACCAAGCTGTGTTGATCAAGTGAGGAAGATTTATGACAGAGAATATGGGGCAAAGGATCTGCGATAATCTCTGCGATTAATTTTCTGCAGGCAATGGAACAATGTAATTCGACAGAGTGTCAGAGCATAGAAGGTATGCGGTTGAATGGGGAAGTCGATGGGAGTGGGTCACAGGAAGGGAGTTACAAGATTTATAAAGGGGCAGTGACTGATGAACCGGGTTGATAATGCCACATAGGAAGAGCAGTGATTCATCTTAAAGATGATGTGATCTATTGCAGGAGGCACAGAGTAATCCACAGTGCCGAAGATTGCAGCTAAAAGACATCATCCCCACTGAGATGCAGAGGCTGACAAAATACCCGCTGCTTCTGGAGAATATTGCTAAAAACACAGGTAAAGGTCTTCTGTAGTTAGACGGGCAGAGGACCTCGGAATGACTTAGATTGAAGTGCCAGATTCCAGATCTGGAATAGTCATGAAAATGTCAGAATGATGGGATTGTACAATGGGAGTGTAGCACATCATCAAAGGAGGAAGAGGAATGAGAAATTCGAGGAAATTAAACTGAATTGTGCATGGTTGTGATAATCTGTGTTTCATTTTGCTGACATTGTTTAGTTGGGGTATAGGACAATGTATTGACGTGAAGAAAGGTGAAAGCAGGCTTGTGCAACTAAGCACAGGCACAGGACTCCATCCGAATTCTATCTTATGTATGTGGGTGTGGTGTCTGCAATGGCATTGCTAAGTCTCATGCAATTAGTGTGTAGCTGATAATCCTTTAAAAACATGGAGAGCCTCTGCATTTTTGTTCTTTAAGGTTTGAAGACACTTCATCAGCTAATTTGCATCTCATAAATTCATCCTAATACTGAACTGCTAAGGTTAAACCTGATGCTCTTTGTAACTTCATTTCTAAAGTAGTTTCATTTAAACTTTATGCTTAATTCCCTGGAGAAGGATGAAAGTCTTTTCCTTAATGGGCCAGGTCTCCTTATCCTTAGATCCAGAGCAGCATGAAGAGAAAAAGAAGGTGAAGAAAGCTGCAGAATGTTGTCGGCAGATTCTGAATTTTGTGAATCAGGCTGTGAAGGAAGCTGAGAATAAACAGGTCAGTATTTCGACAGAGAAAGCTCTTAGTATTTGTCCATTCCCTGCACAGAGATGGTGAGTGTGCAGTTTGATTTCCATAGGAGCCTAACTGGTGGGAACTGACTTAAACTAAAAGTGTGCAATAAATCTGGAACTAAAAGTTAATCTTACTAACAATGAACATATGACCATTACCGTTTGTTATAAAAACCCCCATCTAGTTCATTAATGTCTTTTTAGGGAAGAGAATCTACTGTCAGTCCTTGCCTAGTCTGGCCTACGTCTGACTCCCCATCCACAGCAATGTGATTGACCTTTAACTGCACTCTGAAATGGTGCAAATCGTGCAAAAAGCCACTCAATTTGAGGATAATTGATGGTTGGCAACAAATGTTGGGCTTGCCAGTGACATCCACATCACTTCAAGCCCATGACAGTGGACAAGAAGTAGACTAGTAAGCCCATTGGGTATTCTCGTTCAGTGAGCTCAAGGCTGATCTGATAATGCTCCTCAACTCCTGCCTTTTCCATGTAACTCTTAATTCATTTATGATTAAAAATCTGTCTATCTCGGCCTGACGTATATTTATCCAGTTTTGACAGCGCTCTATGGTAAAGAATTCCGCAGAGGATATTCCGAGTGGTTTGGTGGGCTTAAAAATAGATAAATCTCCAAGGCCTGGGGAAATATCACAGAGAGTTATACAACATAGAAACAGGCCCTTTGGCCCACCATGTCTATGCTGACCAACAGACACCAAACCACACTAATCCCATTTACTGGCACTTGGTCCGTAGCCACCTATGCCGTGGAGTTTTAATTGCTCATCCAGATGCTTCTTATCTGCCTCCTCTACACTCTCAGGCAGCACGTTCCATATATCTGCCAACCTCTGGGTTTAAAAAAAAAAAAAAAAAAAAAAAAATTCTTTCTCATATCTCCTGTAAACCATTTGCATCCCAGGCTGCTGAGTGAGGCCTGGGATAAAATAGCAGGGGCACTGGCAATAATTTTCAAATCCTCTCTGGCCATAGGAGAGGTGCCAGAGGACTGGATAACAGCCAATATGATACCATTATTCAAGAAGGGAAGAAGAAATAAATCTGGAAACTACAGACCAGTCACTGTAACCTCTGGTGGGGAAACTATTAGAAACAATTCTGAGAGACAGAAGTAATCTGCACTTGGAGAGGCAGGTATTAATCAAACATAGTCAGCATGGTTATGTTAACGGGAGGTCATGTTTGACCAACTTGACTGAATTTTTCAAAGAGGTAACCAGATGTGCGGATGAAGGTAATGCATTCACCATAGTCTACTTGGACTTCCACAAGGCTTTTGGTGAGGACCCACATGGGTGACTGATAGTGAAGGTAAGAGCCCATGGGATACAAGAAAATTTGGCTAATTGGATCCAGAGTTGGCTGAGTGGCAGGAAGCAGAGGGTGATGGTCAAGGGGTGTTTGTGTGACTGAAAGCTCACACCCATCAGGATTCTGCAGGGTCTGTATTGGGGCCCTTGCTGTTTGTGGTCATGTATAAATGAATTAGAGTTGAATGTAGGAGATTTTTTTTATAGAACCCCTACAGTGTGGAAACAGACCCTTCGGCCCAAAAAGTCCACACCGACCCTTGGAGCCATTCCCGTATAACCCACCTAATCTACACATCCCTGAACTTTATGGGCAATTTAGCATGGCCAATCCACCGAGCCTGCATATCTTTGGATTGTGGGAGGAAACCTGAGCACCCAGAGGAAACCCACGCAGACACGGGGAGAACATGCAAATTCCACACAGTTAGTCAGCCAAGGGTGGACTTGAACCCAGGTCCCTGGTGCTGTGAGGCAGCAGTGCTAACCACTGAGCCACCGTGCAACCCTAAATTAATCAGTAATATCTCAGATGATGACAATTGTTGAGGTGATAGTGAGGAAGATAGCTTTAGATTACAGGAGGATATAGACAAGCTGGTCAGATGTGCTGATCAGTGGCAAATGGAATTCAACCCAGATAAATGTGAGGTGATACTTGGGCAGGACAAACAAGGCAAGGCAAGACCCTGGGAAGCACCTTGATCCAGAGGGACCTTGGTATGTGTGTATATCGGTTCCTTAAGGTAGCAGGACAGGTGGATAAAGTGGTTGAGAAAGCATTTTGGATACTTGCCTTTATTTACCGAGGCATGTAGTTTGAGCAGAGAGGCAAGGGCACGGTTAGAGTATTGTGCCCAGTTCTGGAATACACATATAGGAGCGCTGTGACTACATTGAAGAGAGTACAGAGGAGATTTGCCAGATGTTGCATGGTCTGGAGAATTTTAGTAATGAAATTACTAAATGATGAAATGAGATCGGACAGATTGGCAGTTTTTCAATTGTCTGGGCCTTGCCCAAAATCTAAGGATTCTTATAAGATAACTTACAGTGCATCAACTCAAAACTATAAAAAAGTGTCATATTAGAGAACAAATTCAGTGACTTTATACTGTTAGGAAGGGGAGGTCAAGCCCTGTGATAACTAAAATTGAAACACAAGCCCCCAATCTGTTATGGCGGGAGTAGAGGTCCCCTTCTAATAATTAAACCCAAAACACCTAGAGAAGTTCACCTCACCTCGCCTAATCTGTTAAAAATGAGTGGTTAAATGAAAGAAATACCCTGATATACTCTTTATAAGCAACAAGTAACAATTTATTTAGTTAACCCTAACAGTGAACAAATTAACAGAACTACTAACAAACTGAAGAATTCCCCTTTAACTACTAACTATTGCTGAACAGAACAAAATTCTCATGGTATGCTGTTCCAATAAATACCAGCCCCACATATATAAACCAAAGTAATAAGAAAATAAATTAAAACTTAGACTCTTAAAAGTACAGCCAGGTTAAGTCTTCCGCAATGTTCTTTGCCTTCTCCGCTGATCCTTCTGTCAGGACTGTTTTCTCTGTGAATTCTTCTGTCAGGGATCTTAGCAACTAGTGCGTGGTACCTTTATGAATAGATGGTGCTTTCTCAGAGAGTTTAGAGATTTCTGTGACAGCCAGATATTTTACTTTTCAGATGGCAGTTTGCTCTCACACCAATTTTCATAAACCTTCGTATATACCCCTGATGACTTGTCAATTTTCTTATAATAGGATTGGTCCGAGGTTGTCAAAACCATCAAGTTTAAATTCAATTGGTTTTCAATCTTAGTGTTTGGTTTAAATTAATTGACTGATCTTCAAGCTAGTTGCCAAAACATCAAAACGAGCCTAAGGTTTCCAATCACACAGCTAATTGATACATCTTTCAATCTCAGCACTTCTGTACCTCTTCAGCTGCTTACAGACACATTTTCATTTAAGTCTCCAAGTTTAGAAAAGCACATCACCTCTTCAAGGAACTATGCACTCTTCCCTGCCTGCCCCCCACCCGCCACCCCACCCCATCATTTTTACAAACAAATTCTAACTTCCTGCCTTCTAATTCACAAGTACTGTACACAATTTTGCAACAATACCCTGCTCACTTGCTGGCTTCACTTGAATTGTGATTACGCTATCTATCGATGTTAGCACATGGTTTTATGAGACTGGCTCCAACCTTCTAAGTGAGAATAATTTCATAGCCAAAAACCCATGAACTGTTCTACCAGTGGCAGTTTCCAGAGGTCTCTGATACAGTCACTAATGTTTAGTTTGCTTCTAGTTGAATTATTTGCTTTCCCTGCCTCCACTGTCACCCGTTCTTGGCTGGTTATTGTCTGCCTGAATTATTAATAACACCCAGTGATTCTTGTGTGATTGCTCAGCTCTGAACCAGTAACATGATGCTGAGGACAGAAGGAATTGAGTAAAGGAGCCTGAGATTTGTGAGGCACTGTCTTGTTTGCCAAAGAATAATTAGCTGACTGTCATTCAAACTTGAAATTATGTTGCTTTTAGGGCTAGGCTGGGAAGGAGAGTAGGAGAGCTGTTATTTTGTGATTGTTAGTTTCTGTCAGCGTTACTTTGTAGAAGTTAATAGCTTATTTCTTTCTGTCAGCGATTGGAAGATTACCAGCGTCGCCTGGACCTTTCCAGCCTCAAGCAGTCAGATTACCCACTGATTGAGGAATTTCGGGTGAGTGACTGGCGAAAAAAAACCTTCCTCAATAATTGAAGGTAATGGGGTGGATCTGTGAGGGCCATGAACCTGTTACAAAATGACTGATGACCAAGTGAAGATCCTCTTTGCATTTAGTGTAATAACTTGTAATTACTTCTTTTGTTTAAGAATCTGGACCTTACAAAGCGGAACATGATTCATGAAGGGCCTCTAACCTGGCGAGTAAATAAAGACAAGACAATCGGTGAGTAAAAGCAACATTACAATATGAAGATGGAATCAGAGAATTGTTTCAGCACAAGAGGAGGCCATTTAGCCCATTGTGTCTGCATCTTGACTTGGTGCTATTCTACTGCAATCTCTCTGTACCTCTGCGCATTGTTTCATTTCAATCACCAACAAGTGTCCTCTTAAATGCTTCATCTGAAGCTGCCCCCAAGCACTTCCAAGCAGTGCATTCCAGACCCAACTGCTTGTTGTGTGAAAAGATTTTTTCTTCCTCATTTGCTTCTTTTACAAAGTACTTCTGAAATCTGTAGCCCTTTGTCCTTGATCCCTTTACAGGCTGGAATGGTTTCTCCCTGCCTACTCTCTCCATCCCCCTCAGAAAACAATCCCAACTTCTCCATTCTTTTCTCAGTGCTGATCTTCATAGCCCTACACATTCTTCCTTTTTAGATAATAACCCAATTGCCCCCTAAATACCTTGATCAAGCCTGTCTTCACCACACTGTCAGATAGAGCATTCAGATCCTAACCACTCATTGTGTGAAGAATTTTTTCCTTGTGTTGCTGTCACTTTCAACAGTTATCTTAAATCTATGCTCACTGTTTCATAATCATTCCACCAATGGAGACAGTTTTTTGTCATTTACTTTGTCCACACCTTGGTACAGTCCTGAAGAAATGCTATCAAATTTTTCAAACATGGTCTTCCTTTTGTAAAACCTTGCTGACATTGTCTGATCACACTGATTTTTTTTTGAAGGGCATTGTTGAGATTTGCTAATAAGTGATTTCAGCATATTCCTGATGATTGATTCAAGCCAACTGACCAGTAGTTTCCTGTTATCTCTCTCTCCTTGAGTAATGATGCACTTGCTGACTCTAATCTCTTAGGACTGTCTTAGAATCTAGGGAATTTTTAAAAATCAGAACTTGTGTGTCACTATTTCTGCAACTATCTCTTTTGAAACCCAGGATTTAAGTCATTGTGGCCTGGAGATTTTAGTTCCTTAAGTTTCTCCAGTTTTTTTCTGCAGATTTTAATTGCTTGAATTCATTTCTGCTATATAATTTGTCTTCTATAAAAACAGGCACACAATACTTGTGTGGCATACTATGCCCTTTCCTCATGGTCCCTCATCTCTGTCTCTAAAGAAGCAAGATTAATTCAGCTAATTTCCTTTCTATACTCTTGTAAAAGTTCTTCCAGTTTCTTTTGTACTCCTGGCTCAGTCACACCCCTTTCACTTTTTTCTTTTACATTCATTTTTTGATCACCCTTTTGTGGTTTCTAAAACTCCTGAATCTTCAGGCTTTCTATTATTCTTTGAACATCTGAAAAACAGTATTTGCTCAAATACTGTTTTTCCATACAGTAGTGGACCACAGAGTGATTTTTCTCCCACGTTTTTGTTTTTAATGAAACATTTTTATTGCAAATTTAAATAATTTATTTACATATTTCTCCTGTTTACTATTTCATATTTATGAATATATTTGCTAACTGTTCTTTCATACCTGTAACTTTGGCATTGCTTAAATTTAAGATTTTTGATTTGGGTGCTAATCTGTTGCTCTCAAACATGAGATGGAATTCAGATAAATTATGACCACCTAATCCACAGGGGATCTTTGATTATGATATTACTAAGCAATCATTAACCTCATCACTCAACCGTAAACCTAAAGAGTTTTGCCCCGAGTTGATTCTATAACAGATTTCTCCAAGAAACTGTCACAAACACATACTGCAAGCTCAACTTCTAGTCCAGTTTTGCCAATGTGATTTATCCAGTCTATGTATAGAGATTAATTTCCCCATGATTTCTACGTTGCCTTTGCTATTATTCCTTGTTTAATGCTCAGTCCAACAGTATAACTACTATTAAGGAGGCTCTAAGTTTTCTACCTCTAATGTACCCATAACAATTCTTCTTCCTGATAACTTGAGCTGAGGTGCCTGGCTCAGTTGTATTCTCCTGCCTCTATCTCTAAGATACTAATTAAACAAAGGTGTGCAACTGTCTCCAGGCAAAGGTTCATGTTCCTGTGTCTCGGGTATTTCAGGATAAGAATTCCCCTGAATTTCACTGAGAAACATAACTGAGCCTTGGTATGAACAGCTGATCAGCCACTAGGCTTGTTGTACAATGCTGCATTGAGCATAAGAGAATCACAGCATCATAGAATTGTTATAGCATAGAATAAGGCTAGTCAGCCTGTTGTGCCTGCAATGTGACCTGGAGTATTGTGCACAGTTTTGGTCCCCTTATTTGAGGAAGGAGGTGGTGGCATTGGAGGCAGATCAGAAGAGGTTTACTAGATTGATCCCAGAGATGAACAGAGATTGAACAGATCGGCCAATATTCTCTAAAATTTAGAAGAATGAGAGGAGATCAAATTGAGGTATTTAAGATGAAGAAAGGTATAGATAAAATAGACGTGGAGCAGATGTTTCCTCTTGTGGAGCAAATGTTTCCTCTTGTGGAGCATTCTAGGATGAGGGGTCATAGTCTTAGGATAAAGGATAGCAAATTTAAAACAGTTGAGGAGAAACTACTTCTTCCAAAGAGTGGTGAATCTGTAGAATTTGCTACCCCAAAGTGCAGTGGATGCTGGGACAGTGAGGAAATTTAAGGAGGAGTTAGACAGATTTTTAATTGGTAATGGGTTGAAGGGTTATGGGGAGAATGCAGAAAAATGGGGGTGAGGAGCATGATCGAATGGTGGAGCATACTTGATAAGACCATAAGACATAGGAGCAGAAATTAGGCCATTCAGGCCATTGAGTCTGCTCCACCATTCAATCATGACTGATCAGTTTCTCAACACCATTCTCTCACTTTTTCCCTGTTACCCTTGATCCCTTTGACAATCAAGAACCTATCTATTTCCATCTTAAATGTACTCAACGATCTGGCCTCCACAGCTTTCTGTGGCAGTGAATTCCAAAGATTCACCACTCTCTGGCTAAAGATGTTTCTCCTTATATCTGTTCTAAGAGGTCTTCCCTTTACTCTAAGGCTGTGTCCTCGGGCCCTAGTCTCTCCTACCAATGGAAACATCTTCCCAACATCCACTCTGTCCAGGCCATTCAGTATTCTGTAAGTTTCAGTTAGATCCCCCTCATCCTTCTAAACTCCAATGAGTATAGACCCAGAGTCCTCAAATGTTCCTCAAATGTTAAGCTTTCCATTCCTGGGACCATTCTCGTGAACCTCCTCTGAACCCGCCGTAGGGCCAATACATCTTTCCTGAGATATGGGGCCCAAAACTGCATGCAATACTACAAATGTGGCCTGGCTAGAGCCTCAGAAGTACATCACTGCTTTTATATTCAAGTCCTCTCAAAATAAATGCCAAAGTTGCATTTGCCTTCCTAATTACTGACTCAACCTGCAAGTTTAGTTTGAGAGAATCCTGGACTAGAACTCCCAAGTCTCTTTGCACTTCAGACTTCTGAATTTTCTCCCTATTTAAAAAATAGTCCATGCTTTTATTCTTCTTACCAAAGTGCATGACCTCACACTTTCCCATGTTGTAATCTGCCATTTCTTTGCCTATTCTCCTATGGGCTGAATGGCATAATTCTACCCCTATTTCTTATGAACTTTATTGGTTCTATTACCTAGTGGATAGGGAAGTTGTAACTAGTAGAGGCTATTGTGACTGGGTCTCAGTGCCTTCACCCTGATTCTGAAGTGTCAGAACAGAGTTCCTGATTTCCGTGTCTGTTTGAAGCACCGATCAACAGAAATATTGGTTTATTACGTAAATGCTTAGATGTTCAAAGGACTGTGTATGTATTTTCATTCTGAAGTTGATTTAGAACAAGAGTTTGACAAATTGAGTTTGGATATATATTTTGCTGCACAGTTCTGAAAGTTTATAATTTTCTCAAAGGAGGACAATGTTGACGTTGAGAATTACACCATTATCATTGATGTTCAACCCTTCCATTATCTCCAGATCTCTACACGCTGCTGTTGGAGGATATCCTGGTTCTGTCCCAGAAGCAGGATGAGCGACTGGTGTTGAAATGTCACAGTAAGAACCTTGCTGCCAACGCAGATACTAAACACATCTTCAGCCCCATCATCAAGCTGTCTGCTGTGCTTGTGCGGGAAGTCGCAACAGGTCAGCCCATTCACCTATCCAGGTCAACACTCTGATACTATTGGATAGAAAGAAATTAATGCTGGAGGTTAGGGAGATGCAATTGTAGTCAGAAGTTCACTAATTAGGAATATACTTGGTATGCCTCTATTTAAGGTATACATTGATCATTGTAATGAATTCCTCAGCATTTGCCAGGTGACGTCTTATTTAACTTGTGTGCTGTTATTGAAACAATGTAATCCCAATACCTTTCCAGATTGAAGAACTAGCTTACAAGGCTAAATTGAGTAGCCTAGGTTTGTATTCTCTCAGGTTTAGAAGATTGATGTAATTAAGGTGTTTAATATGATTAAAGAATTTGATCAGACAGATAGAAAGAAGTTTTTTTTTCTGGTCTGGGGAAGAATTTAGCCAGGTAGTTCAAGTGTGATGTCAGGAAGCATTCTCACATAAAGGAGAGTGAAAATTGGAACACTGTCCCTGAAGAAAGCTGTCAAAGCTTTAAGGTCACCTGGAGGTTTCAGAACTGAGATTGATGAAACTTTATTTTGCTTGCGTGAGGATTATGGAGTTAAATTACAGATCAGCTGTTATCTATATTACGCTCCAGTGGTATAGTGCACTGCAAATCAAGCTCTGCTAATCTTGGAGTCATGACAAAAGTAACCAAGATTTGAAAAAAAAATTGCAGAATTCATCAGTCTTTCAGACAGGGGTTGACAGAAAACAAAGACCAGGTTTCTGTACTTACAATTTATTGTAAATAAATAGATAAACAGTTATGAACCATTGATGAATTAACAGCTGGTTAAGTTTTAACTACTACACACATGCATAGGCATGCACATGCATACGCATGTATGTACATACACAGGTAGGAAAAAGATAATCACATAGTTGCGAAGGGAAGAGAGAAAGGCAGGGAGGGCAGTTTAGTGCTCCCTGTTCACAGGGTTCGTGGAAATGGTCCTTTTGTCTCGTTAGGGTCCGCTGTACCTTTATTCACCTTCTCTAGATACTTCCATTTGCTTGTAGAAGATGCAGGTGGCTGGTTCATGCTTATAAAGTCTCTGGCTTACTGGTTAAGAGTCATAGCTTGCTAAGGGAAAAATAAAAACTGTCTTTCTTCAAGCTTAAGGTGGTTTTTATTGCAGAGAAGAGTCAGCTCCTGTCCTTGTGGAGGTGAAATTGCTTAACCCAAGAATTTACATCCCCAAGCTGTTCAGCTACCTAGGAGCCAGCCACACATTGTTGGCGGGCAGGAGGCTTTTGTCATTTGTGATAACAAAGTGTAGAACTGGATGAACACAGCAGGCCAAGCAGCATCATAGGAGCAGGAAGGCTGATGTTTCGGGCCTAGACCCTTCATCTTCATTTGTAACTGGTCATTAGTCCATAGACCAATAACTACTTGTCATCAGCCAAATGTCTATTCGTATATAGTCCCCCGGCTCCAGCTTATCTGTATCTAGGCTTTCATGACTGTTTGAACAAGTACTTGCAATGTGTATCAAGTTACTTGCTTTTAGAAAGTGCAGCAATCCTTCAACAATCTTTGGTTTTTGAATATTTCAGTCCACAGTCAAAACTGTAGTAGATTTAAAAAAAACACATCCTTTAAATTTAATTGAATATGCAACAGATTAAGGGGCTGAGTGACCTTCTGATTCGATAGCCACCATCAAGAACTCGTGACTTTTCCCTTCTTTGTCAGCATGATCTTCACATCCTGGTTACAGGAATTGGAAAGGGCAAGCTGAGAAATGTTTACTTGTTACTTGTTCACTGACCATTTTCTCTTGTCTGTTACAGATAACAAGGCTTTCTTTGTCATCTCAACATCAACTGATGGTGCCCAGATCTATGAACTGGTAGCCCAGACAGTCTCTGAACGAAAAACGTAAGAATGTAGCACAGTTGCAAACTTGAGATTTTTGGATTTAACATTTTTTGTAATGTTAAAGGACTGTTACAAATAGGTACTTGTACAAAAGCAGTCCATGTTCAAATGCAAGTAGAATTTGTACCATGCAAGTGCAAGGCAATGAGTATTTCCACAAAGAGAGAATTGAATCATCACCCCTTGATATGCAATGGTGCCATCATCACTGAATTCCCCACTATCAAAACTCTAGGGGTTACCATTGACCAGATACTGAACTATGAACTAGCCATTATCAATACTGTAGTTACAAGGGCAGGTAAGAGGCTAGGAATCTCCCAGAGCACAACTCACCTCCTGACTCCCTAAAGCCTGTCCATCATTTACAAGGCAAAAGTCAGAAGTACAACGGAATACACCCCATTTCCCTGGATGGGTGCTGTTTCAACAACGCTCAAGAAGCTTGACACCATCCAGGACAAAGCAGTCCGCTTGGTTAGCATCATATCCACAAACATTCAGTCCCTCCACCACTGACGCTCAGTAGCAGCAGTGTGTACTATCTGCATGAAGCGCTGATGTTCAAGGTTCCTAAGACAGCACCTTCCAAACCCATGACCACTACCTTCTAGAAGGACAAGGGTAGCAGAGCACATGGGAGCACCACCATCTACTAGTTCCAGTCCAAACCACTCACCATCCTGACCTGGATGCATATCACTGTTTCTTCAGAGTTGCTGGGTCAGAATCCTGGAATTCCCTCCCTAAGGGTATTGTGGTTCTACCTGCATTATGTGGACTGTAGTGGTTCAAGAAGGCAGCTCACCTCCACCTTCTCAAAGGCAACTAGGGACAGGCAGTAAAGACTGGGTCAGTTGGTGATGCTCATGTCATGTCAGTGAATCTTTAAAAAGTAGAGAAATGACATTCTACATATTGGGGAAGAATTCAAGTGGGATTTCCTGAACAGTGAGTTCTCAAGAATCATATGGAACAGACCAAATGAGATGCTGGGTTTAGTGTCCTGAATATAAAAAGCAAGCAAGAGATGTGGATTTTGTACAGATTCCTCATTTGACACAGCTTTGAGTCTTGTACAAGGCTCTGAAAATCCTATTTTGGAAGGCCCATTAGAGCACTGAAAGGCAAAGCAGATATTCTCCAGAATGTAAAAAAAGTGTGATTAGAGCGTAAATGACTTTTTTTTAAACTGGAATACGGTATTAATGGGAATCTAATTGATGCCATTAAAATGTAGAAAGATGATCGTAGGCAACATAAAGATTTTTTTATCTTCTAATCAGCAAATCAATAACCACGTGAAAATTATTTAGTTATTGCTGGAAAGAGAAGATGTAAGAATTATGCAAGAGAAAACAATGTACTTTACCAAAAGAGACTTTTATAAGATTGTAACTGGAGCATTGTTTTAAAGCAAATTGGAGTAGTGTTCTAACTCGGAGTATAAATGGACACAGGGAGGAGGCAAGAAATTTTAACTAGGCTATAGTGCTTCAGTTAATCCTCAGGCAGGTACAATACTAAACCCATTAGCCTTGAACCTGTTCGTTGCTCAGATTATGGCTGATCTGTGACATCTCTCCACACTGCTGTCTTTATTCCATATCCTTTTTGTTAACAGAAATCTGTCAACACAGGTTAAAGTTAGCCATCAATCCAGCATCATTTCCACTTGCCACAGTGTATTTTAAATTTGTGATGTCCTTCACATGTCAGTGTCATTGCAACTTTCACTCCTGAAAGTTCTGGCTGTAATGTTTAGCCTATGATCCGGACTCCCAGTCAGTGGGAATGTTAGGGGTTTCTAGTCATCTAAAGGTATTCCATTAGCCTTTTTGATGAGTTTCTGTACTTGTTCATGACATTTTAATGATCCCAGTTTTCTGGATCCGTGTTGTTTGGGAATAGTCCACTTTTGGATCTTGGTCTTGTGAAATGAGAAAAGGCTATGTTGCCTGCCCAGTGCCAAGATTTGGGAGATCTCCTCAAGACTGTGGAGTAAATTAGAGTCATAGAGTAATACGGCATGGAAACAGGCCCTTCAGCCCAAACTGGTCCATGCTGACCATGTGCCCGCTCACCTAATTCCAATTGCCTGCATTTGGTCCATATCCCTCTTCAACCCTTCCCATCCATGTACCTGTCCAAATGTTTTTTAAATGTTGCCTCAACCACTTTCTCTGGCAGCCCATTCCATATATGCACCACTGTCTGTGTGAAGAAGTTGGCCTTCAGGTCCTTCTTAAATCTTTCCCCTCTCACCTTAAACCTACACCCTCTACTTTTCAATTCCCCATCCCTGGGAATAAAAGTCTATATGCCTTCATCCTATCTATGCCCCTCATCATTTTATGCACTTCAGTAAGGTCACCTCATTCTCCTATGTTCCAAGGAATAAAGTCCTATCCTGGCCAACTTCTCCCTATAACTCAGGCCTACTCGTCCTAGCAGCATCCTCGTAAATCTTCTTTGCACACTTTCCAGTTTAACTATGTCTTTCCTATAACAGGGTGACCAAAACTGTACTCAATACTCCAAGTGCGGCCTCACCAACGACTTATACAACTGTAACATAACGTCCCAACTCCCATACTCACTGCCTTGACCAATGAAGGCCAGCATGCTACATGCCTTCTTCACCACCTTGTCCACCTGTTGTGCTGCTTTCAGTGAACTATGTACTTGTACTCCTAGGTCCCTCTGATCCACAACACTCCCCAGGACCTTATCATTTCCTGTGTAAGTCCTACCTTGGATTGACTTTCCAAAGAGCAACACCTCATACTTATCTGTATTGAATTGCATTCGCCAATCTTCAGCCCACTTCCCCATGTGTAATTTTTGATAACTTCCCTCGCTATCAACGATACCTCCTAATTTTGTATCATCTGCAAATTTACTAATCATGCGTTGTACATTCACATCCAGATCATTCATGTAAATAACGAATAACTTGTAGTGGGAGAGAGGAGGAACAGTGTTCGTAGTCCATGTAGATACCAATGACATAGGCAGAACTAGGAAAAATATTCTGCATAGACAGTATTGTGAACTAGGCATTTAAGTTGAAAAGTAGGACCTCTCTGGATTATTAATTAAGCCATTGGTGTAGGGTACATAAATTTAGGGATATTAATATGTGGTTCATAGATGGTGTGGCAGAAGTGGGTACCTATTTGTCGGCCATTTGCACTAGATGTGGAAAAAGTGGAGACTGTACCACTGGGACGGTCGTTATCTGAACCATTGCTGGAGCCAGTGTTATTCTGTTCAGAAATCGAGGGAATTAGAGAGTATTTTAAACTAAATATTCGGGGTAAGGGATCAAATGTGGAAAGATGAGATAAATCAAAGTGTAGAGATAAACTAAGACAGGATAATTAATATGGGAAATAAGGGTCAAAGAATGCCAGTAAGGAGCAGAGACAAAAAGAAAAACCTAGGGATAAACCAACAGTCAAGACTAGAAGTTGCAAAGATAACATAAAAGACAAAACTAAAAGGTGTGTATCTGAGTGTACATAGCATAACAAAGTAAATGAGTAGGTAACACAATAAATAAATATGATGTCATAGCTATCATGGAGACATAACTTCACGATGTTAAAGTTGACGTTTCGGGTTGGGACCCTTCTTCAGAACCAACCCGAAACGGCAACATTCCTGCTCCTCTGGAGCTACCTGGCCTGCTGTGCTCCTCCAGTTCCACACTGTGTTACCTCTGACTCCAGCATCAGCAGTTCTTACTATCTCTTCATGATGTTAAAGATTAGGTCCTGAAGTTTGAGGGATCTATGACATTGAAGAAAAATTGGAAGTGAGGAGGAGAGATGGCATTGTTAATCAAGGAGTAGTATTGGTCATCTCTAACTATTATACCATTGTTCAGGAGGTCAGGATGTAGTATCAGTTTAGGTGATAATGAAGAATATTAGGGGAAACAAGTCAGTACTGGGAATGGTCAACAGGCCCCTGAACAGTAACCACAATGTGGGATGTAACATACAAGAAGAAGTATCAGATGCTTGTGATAAAGGGATGGCCAATAATCATGAATGACTTTAACCTACGCGTAGACTGGATAATTCAGTTTGGCAGTAATAGTTTGGAATTTATGGAATGCATTCAAGAGAGTTTCTTAAAGTAGCACATTTTGGAATTGATAAGAGAGCAAGTTATATTAAACTTGGTATTGTGTAGTGAGACAGGACTAATTAATCACGTCAGAGTTAAGACAATGACAATGGTAACGACAGCCACAATGTGATTGCATTTTGCATCCAGTTTAAAAGGGAGAAAATCGACTCTAAGGCTAGTAATTTAATCTAAATTAGGGGAACTATATTAGCATGAAAACTGAGCTAGCTGATATGAACTGGAATACTAATACCAGATACTATCGGGGAATAGATCAATAGAGATACAGTAGCAGACATTTGGGGGAATATTTCAGAATACTCTAAATACCAACAATAAATAAAAATTTGAAAGGGAGAATGCACCATTCGTGGTTATCTAAACAAATTACGGCAAGCGTCGGATTTCAGGAAGAAGCATATAGTTGTGCAAAGATGATCAAATTAGATGATTTGTCAAAGTATAAAGGCAGTGAATGATCAAAATGTTAATCAAGAGAAAGATATTACTATGAAAGAAAACTAACTAGAACTGTAAAAAGTGGTTAGCAAGAATTTCTACGTATATTTAAAAAAAGAAAAAACTAAGTAAAATGAGTGTTGGCCCTCTGAAGATTGAGAATGGACGTTAATATTAGTTAATAAGGTAACGGATGAAGTGAACAAATATTTTGATGTGTCTTCACTATTGTGGGTACAGAAAAATGGCAGTAATATCTGTAAATTAGAAGATTGAAGAGAGACAGGAATGCAATACAATTACAATCATGAGGGAAATGGCATTAAGCAAACTAATGGAGCTGCAGGCTGACAAGTCACCTGGTCCAGGTGGACTTTATCTTAAGGTCTTAGATTCAGGAAAGGTTCTATTGACTGTAACAAACCCTGTATTCAAGAAATGGGGGATGCAAAAATGGGAAACTATAGCCTGATTAGCTTGCTGTCTGTTGTGGATTTTTAGAAGGCTTTCAATGAAGCCATGCAAAAGATTAAGCGTAAGATTAAGCAAAACATAAAGCGTGTGGAATTGCAGAGTAATGTAGATGGATAGAAGACTGGCTGGAGTATAATGTGGATAAATGTGAGGTTATCCACTTCAGGAGAAAAAAACCGGAAGGCAATTATTATCTGAATGGTTATAAGCTGAGAGGGGGGAATGTGCAATGGGACCTGGGTATCCTTGTACACCAATTACTGAAAGTAAGCATGCACGTGCAGTAGATGGCAAAGAAGGCAAATGATATGTTGGCTTTCAAAGCGAGAGGATTTAAGTATAGGAACAGGATGTCTTGCTGTAATTATACAGGGCCTTGGTGAGACCACACCTGGAGTATTGTGTGCAATTTTGATCTTCTCATCCAAGGAAGGATGTTCTTGTTATTGAGGGAATGCAGGAAAGGTTTACCAGGTAGATTACTGGGGTGCGAGGACTGGTATAGGAAGAGATGTTGAATCAATTTTGATTCTGCTCTGTTCTGTGGAATTTAGAAGAATGAGAGGCATCTCCGAAATCTATTAAATTTAACAGCCGGCTAGATAGTATAGATGCAGGAAGGATGTTCCCAATGACTAGGGAGTCCAGAGTCAAAGGTGACAGTCTAAGGATATGTGGTAAACATTTAGGACTGAGATGAGAAATTTCTTCGCCCAGAGTAGGGAGTCGGGAATTTACTACCACAGGAAGCAGTTGAAGCTAAAACATTATCCAACTGCTCCTTGAAATCAGGTAGAGCACTTGGGGCAAAAGAATTCAAAGTTCTCAATTCAGCAATGGCCAATTTTTAGTAAGATCAGATGTGATTTGGTCAGAATGGGCTGTGAGCAGATACTTTTAGGTAAATCTGTGTCAGAACAGTGGGACACATTCAAGAAGGAAATAGGGAGCATACGGGGCCAGCATGTTCCAATAAAGACAAAAGGGTGCCACCAACAAATTCTGTGAGCCGTGTATATCAAGAGATGTACAGGATTAGACATAAAGGAAAAGGGAGGCTTAAGGCAAACACTGAGGGCTCGAAACAACAGAAGCCCCTGAGGAATATGGATGGGCGAGGAGAAACTTTAAAAGGAAATTGAGAACAAAAAAGGGGCTTGAAAGAATAATGGCAGGTAAAATAAAGGAAAATCCCAAGTATTTTACAAGTACGTTAGGGGTAAAAGGATAACTAAGTAAAGAGTAGGTGTCGTTAAGGGCCACAGTGATAATTTGTGCATGGAGTCAGCTAAGTTCACTAGTGAGAGGGACACTGTGGGTGTAGAAATCAAGGAGAAGGACTGTGATTTACTTAAACAAGTTAGCATATACTGAGAGGAGGTCCTAAGTGGTTTAGCAAGCTGAAAAGTACATAAATCTCCTGGACTGGATGAAATGTTTCCCAGGTTGTTGAGTGAGGCAAGGAAGGAAACAGCAGGGGCACTGGCAATAATTTTCAAATCCTCTGTAGCCCCAGGAGAGGTGCCAGAGGACTGGAGGACAGCCAGTATGGTACCGTTATTCAGGAAGGGAGCAAGGGATAAGCCAGGACATAACAGGCAGGTCAGTTTGAAGCAATTCTGAGGAGCAGAATTAACCTGCACTTGGAGAGGCAGGGATTAATCAAGAAAAGTCAGTATTGTTTTGTTAAGGGGAGGTTATGGCTAACCAACTAGATTGAATTTCTCAGAGGTAACCAGATGTATGGATGAGGGCAATGCTTTTGATGCAGTCTAAAGTTTTTGAGACAATATAGTCTAATTGAACTTCGGCAAGGCTTCTAATAAGGTCGCATTTGGGAGACTAATAACGAAGGTAAGAGCCCATGGAATCCAAGGAAATTTGGTTAATTGGATCCAGAATTGGCTGAGTGGCAAGAAACAGCCGGTAATGGTAAAGGGCTGTTTCTTGTGACTGGAAAGCTAAGTCAAATTGGGTTCTGCAGGGTTCAGTTTTGGGGTCCTTGTTGTTTACAAATATTTTATTAACTCGGCACCTTTGGGACCAAGCATGTGCTAGTTGATCAAATACTCCGCTTGGTTAAGAGGTCCACATAATCAATTTAAAAGGGGAGGTGATGGCCTAGTGGTATTATCATTGGACTGTTAATCCAGAGACCTAGTTAATGTTCTGGGGACCCAGGTTCGAATCCCACCGTGGCAGATGGTGGAACTTGAATTCGATAATAATCTGGAATTAAGAGTCTAATGACGATCATAAATCCATTGCCGATTGTTGGGAAAAACCCATCTGGTTCACTAATGTCTTTTAGAGAGGGAAACTGCCATCCTTACCTGGTCTAGCCTGCATGTGACTCCAGACCCACAGCAATGTGGTGGACTCTTACCTGCCCTCCAGGCATTTAGAGATGGGCAATAAATGCTGCCTGGCCAGTGACGCCCACATCCTGTAAACAAATAATGGAAAAAAACATACACTAATGAATTGCAGGAGGTATGCACATCACTGTTACGTTATTGGAGCAGAAAGGCTGACGTTTCGGGCCTAGACCCCTCATCAGAAAAGGGGGAGGGGAAGGGGGTTCTGAAATAAATAGGGAGAGAGTGGGAGGTGGATAGAAGATGGATCAGTGGGAGAGAGATCCCCTGAGGTTTGTCCGGAGGGAGGAGGGTAACTTCTTCAGGCCCTAACCCTAACCCTAACCCTATCGCACCTTGTCGACACTCCACTCACACCATTTCTATGATCTTTTGGTCTCTCTGCCTATAAATTCTGTGTGTGTGTGCATTCCTTCACTTCACCTGATGAAGGGCAGTGTTTAGAAAGCTTGTGATTTCAAATAAACCTGTTGCACTATAACTTGGTGCCATGTGATTTCTGACCTTGTCCACCCCAGTCCACCACATCATCTAAAATCCAGTAGAAACGACTCCAGTCTGCAGTCTTGGACTGTGAGGCCACAACTCAAATACTGTGTGTAGTTTTGATTTCCTTATTTAAGAAAGGATGTAAATGCAATGGAGCTGGTTCATAAGAGATTTACTAGATTGACACCAGGAATGAGCCGGTTGGCTTATGAGGAAAGATTGGACAGACTGGGGTTATTTCCACTGGATTTTGAAATTGTGACGAGTGACTTGATTGACCTGTATGAGATCCTGAATAGTCTTGACAAGGTGGAGCTGGAAGGAGAGTTTCCTTTTGTGGATCAGTCCAGACAAAATTAAAAATCCAGACAGAGCTTAGGGAGAAATCCTTTTACTCAGACGGTTGTATGTCTTTGTAACACTCTGCCTCCAAAGGCAGTCGAGGTGAGCTCGTTGAGTATTATTAAGAGCAAGGTGGTTAGATGCATGTTGGACAGAGGAATCCACCATTATTGGGGTTGATGGGAATGTTCAATTCTAAACAAACTGATCAGCCATAGATGGTGGAACACGCTTGAGGGACTGATGGCCTAATTCTGCACCTAATTTATATATTTGTGTGTAAAACTTAGTGGTACATATAGGGGCCTCTGCGAATAATGATCTTGTATGATAGAATTTACTATTGATTGAAAGTGGGGAAGTGAATCTCTTTTGCTGTAAACACTTTGTAACATTTGCAAGAAGGACTTTTAGGTGAGTGTATAAATAGTCCGAGATTTCCAAATGTTATAACTGTCGGGACAGAATCCACAGCAGCATCTAATAGAGAAGTGGATAACTACTTCAAAACTAAAAAAAATGCATGAAGCGTCAATATTTTTGGTTTGGTTTGGTTAAAGTCAATATTATTTAAGTTCAGAGTTTAAAGTGGAATTTTAAAATGCTGTTTGGTGAGTGATCTTTGCCTGTTGAATTTACAGGTGGCAGTATTTAATCACACAGACATCAGGATCAATTAAACCTCCAAGCCACCATGTGATCCCTGAGCCAGCAGTTACGGAGTAAGTAATTCAGTCTTGCTAACTTTTCAAAGATGAATTGGTAACATTTGATAAATGTGTTAGCACAATAGGCACATACAGCTATTGCCTAGCTGCTGCTGAGGACAGGGAGAATGTGTGGAGCAGGTGTATCTCAGTTTGGAGCCAAAGCTTTGTTAATGTCATGGTAACAAAGGCCAGTTGCCTTCTTGCATTCCGGAATGAGACTTGGTCCATTGACTGAGTTCTGTACAGAGTAACCAGGAACAGTTTTGTGATTTTGTAATTCTGCAATTGTGCAAAAGCAAATCTTTGGAATTAAATAGATGTTGCCAGTCAAAGCAGACTCAAACTATTTCTTACCTGAAGAATCACTGTCTGTTTCTTCGCTATTCTTAAATCTACTTCTCTTACCTCCAGAACAAATTCCTCCAGTTCTGGTCTCTTGTGCCTCCCTTCTTGTCTTCATCCCGTTGCTGGTGGTCATCCTTTCAATTATCTAGAGTCCACAATCTGGAACTTCCTCCCAGCAGAAGCATCTGTAAAGAGAAAAATAAAAGTTAATGTTTCAAGTCCAGTATCAGAACTGTTCAGTCTACAGATGCTGCCAGACCTGCTGAGTTTCTCCGGCACTTTCTGCTTTTGTTTCGGGTTTCCGTCAGCCACAGTTTTTTACTTTTATCTCTCCTGAAACACTTCAATCTCCTTCTGTTTAAAACACATCTTTCAATAAGCCTAGCGCTCCTCCAGGCCCATGTTTGCTGATTATACTGTTATGAAGTGTACAGGATGATCATTTGTCTAGGATACCTGGGAGACGGTCTTTTAAAAATGAGGCCATGATGGTACCAGATTGTTACCTAACAAATGTAATGGGCAGATATTTCCACAGGAGTGAGCAAGAAGATGAGGAGAATCTGAGCACACTGCAGCAAAGTGGATCAGGCAAAGTTTCAGGAAGAATGTTCGGCAGCAGTGAATCACCACAAGGTACCAAAATCCATCAGAGCTTAATATGTCAGTGATTAAGTATTTTGAATTGTTTGTGACAAACCCCTTAATAGCTTCAGTGTGTAGAGGAAACTGACTGAACTAATTTGTCTTGTATTTAATTGCATTGAGCCCATGAGAAAATGAATCGTCTACATTGTCACTTTTCTGAGAGCATCTCATTGTATGGTTAGTCTTCGGATTCCAAAGAATGCTATTGGAAGAAAAGGAGACGTGTAGAGACTGAGCAGCTTCTGGTTGCATATCCTTCAAACTAGAATTGATACCGATTCTTATGACATTTACTTTCTGTTCATCTGGAATCTTTCACTGAGTTCTTGCTATCAAATGCTGAGGAACCATTTGATAATTAGATTCAAGAGATTCTGGGATACCTCAATTGAATCTTGAATAGATTATTAAGAAGCTCAGGACGTTTACTGCTGTCTTTATCTAAAGTTGTTTTCTGGCTATATGATCTCTGTAAATTGATCTGTTTAGTTTACCTGGGTCATGGCCAGGTCTGTGCTGTGATAGAAAACTGGAGGTAGCAGATTGTGATTGTAGGGAGGCAAATCTCCTCATAGGAAGTATATGTGACATGAATGCACAATCGATCCTGTATATAATCTTGTTAATATCACAATTTGGTTGTTGCAGGTACCTGACCAGCATGCTACAGGATTGTGTGTGTACGTGCCTGTTTACTGAAGGCCAAACTTGCATGGTGAATGCAGGTGCAGGTTAAAGCAGAAAAAAATGTCCTACCAGTTTGAGTAATTGCCAATCTGCATTGCAGGTAAAGAAATGTTATCTGGGACTGAAGACACTCTGAATCTCTCCATGTCAAACCAGCAGAAACCTCATGTAGTCCCCTCCACGCAGGAGACAGATGAGCAGAACAAACCCACAAGGGAGTACTCCAGCCTCCGCAGATCAACTGATCAAAGGCTACCCTACAGAAACACCGAGCAACACTATTCAAACCAGGGTCGGTCTTCAGGCTCACCACTCTCCTGTTCCCGAGCAGAGATTGCACTAACAAACCGTAAGTGAACACAATACATTGTAGCCTGTGCAAATGGCAAGATGCCTCTTAGAGCCACAGCTGGGCTTTTCCAGTGCTAGTCAACACAGACAGCATTATTGTAACCTCGTTTTCAGTTATGGTTTTCAGAGAGTTCCGATCTCAGCTAGCAATCACCCACACAATAATGGTAGGATTCTGAAAAGTGTAGAGGAACAGAGCAATTATGTACGCCCACAGATCCTGAAGGTAGCAGGGGAGGCAGGTTAGATAGACAAGCGGGATACTTTCCTTTGTAATCAGAGCAATTATTCTAGAACTGTATAAACACTAATTAGTCTACAGCTAAAGTTCAGTTTCCTGTTCACCTGGTAAGGTGCGATCACATGGAGAAAGTGTAGAGGTGATTTAGTGAATGTTAGTGATTTTGAAAGATTGAATAGGTTGTCTTGGAAACAGGATGTTGAAGGGAGTTGTAGAGAAATTTGGCTTGCTGTCCTTGGAGCAGAGAAGATTGAAGTGACTTCATTGAGGTATTCAAAATTATGGGCAATCTTGACAGGGTGAAGAAGGTATTTTGTTTCCACTGGTTGGTACAATTTCAAGAGTGTCAGCAGGGGAGCTAGGAGTGAGTTGAGGAGAAACGTCCTTACTCAGATTTGATAGGATTTAGAATGTGCTTTATGAGAGAATAATGCTGGTGAATTACATACAATTTTTCAAAAGAGATCTGGATATACAGATAGGGCAGGAGAATGGGACTAGCTGGGTAGTTCTTTTATAAGACAATATTAACACAATGGATCTAATGGCCTCCTTCTGTACCATAAAATTCTATGATTCTAGAAGATGTGGGCCCTAGATTGTAGGTTGGAAGGATTTATTTCCATTAGCAGAGAGGTCAGTCACCGGGATGTTTAGTTTGAAAGTAAGTGGTCAAAGAATTAAGAGAGTGGATGGTGCGTTTTCGTCCAAAGGGTTGTGCAGTCTCAAACTCACTGCTTGAAATGGTGAGAGAACACCAGATGTCAGAGCAGAATTCAGCTATTCAGCCCACCGAGTCTGCTCCACCATTTGATCACGGCTGATATGTTTCTCAACCCCATTCTTCTGTCTTCTCCCTATAACACTTGATCCCATTACTAATCAAGAGGCTATCTAATTCTGACTTAAATACATTCAATGACTTAGCCTCCACAGCCTTCACCAACAATGAGTTCCATAGATTCACCGCCCTCTGGCTGAGGAAATTTCTCCTCACCTAACTTCTAAAGGATCGTCCCTTCACTCTGAGGCTGTGCCCTTGTGTCCTAGTCTGTCCTGCTTGTTGAAGCAACATCTCCACATCCACTCTGTCCATGCCTCTCAATACCATGTCAGTTTCAATCAGATTCCCCTCATCCTTCTAAACTCCATTGGGTACAGGGCAAGAGTCCTAAACCACTCCTCATGACAAGCTCTTCATCCCCAGGATCCTTCTTGTAAAACTCTGTACACCTCCTCCGATGCCAGTGCACGCTTCCTTAACTAGGATCATACATTCCCCACGCTATGGAAAAAGACCATTCAGCTCATCAAGTCTGCACCAACCGTCCGAAGAGCATCTCACCCAGACCCACCTGCAATACTGTAACCTCGCATTTACCATGGCTAATCCAAATAGCCTGCACATCCCTAGACAACTTGGGGCATTTAGCGTGGCCTATCTACCTAACCTGCACGTCATTGGTCTGGGAGGAAACTGGAGTACTCAGTGGAAACCCATGCAGACATAGGGAGAACATCCAAACTCCACACAGATAGTCACTGAAGAATCGAACCGGGGTCCCTGGTGCTAACCACTGAACCACAGTGCAGCCTTAAAGTTGTAAATGTACAAGCCAAACTCTCCTTCATTCCTCTGCTGAAGTATAAACCCTTTTCAGTATCTCCTACTTCCAGTTTCTTCCCTTCCTGTATTTTGTGTTCAGACTCTGGAGTGGGATTTGAACCCAGAGCCATGTGTTTCGAAGGCCAGGCTGCTACACACTGAATCACAGTGAATACTAATACAGGGCCCAAAAATGCTCACAATATTCTCTCATCAGAACCTTATACAGCGTCAGCAATACATCTCTGATCTTGTATTCTAGCCCTCTTGAAATGAAAGCTAACATTGCATTTGCCTTCCTAACAGCCAATTGAACCTACATGTTAACCTTAACAGAATCCTCATCTGGAACTCCCAAGGTCCTTCATGTTGCAAATTTCCAAAGCTTTCCCCCATTTAGAAAATAGAGTATGCCTCTCTTCCTACCTAAGTGCATAACCGCACACTTATCGCACACTGTATTCCATCTGCCACTCCTTTGCAGAAACCCTTGTTATAGTTAGAACATATTTGGGTCTAACACACTGTTACAGCCCAAGAGCTGGGCAGTAGTAGGAATAGGTCGCAGAGACCTTTTTTTTGTTGGCATTAATATAAAGGGCCTAGTGGCTTCTTCTGAGCTCTAAATTTCTTCTTTTGTGGCAAGATATTCATCTTAGCAGGAAATGGAGTGGGGAGTGACTGGCTGAGTGTTGTACCAGATGTTGTAAGATAAAGCAGTTTGTGTTCCAAGTGCTACTCCCGGTCTACTGGAGCCAGGATTATACATCAACCTTAAAACCTAAAGTTCAGGCATTGAATACTTGACTGTATAGTTGTTGAGTACTGCATGGGTAAATAGTTTTGCATCTGAAAATGCCTCTAAGTATGGTGAATATGGGGAACATGCGACCTTAGGAAGTGATGAGAGAAATTGTGTTCAGTAGATATATTTAAGGGGAGATTAAAGAAGCACTTGAAGGAGTAGCGGTTGTGCTGATTGAGAAGGTGAGTTTGGAGGAGGCTCCATTGGAGCACAGATTTCAGCATGTTCTTGGAATTAAATGGTTCTATACTGTACATTCTGAATAATTCTATGTCATTCTCTACCCCTCCAAAGTTCACACCTTGAAGCAATTGCTAACATTTAACATGCTGAATTTGGATGATGATGGCAGTGATGGAGGCTCGTTTCAGCACCTTCCAGAGGAGGACAGTTGCCTGACTTCTCCAAAGCTAGGGGCAGATGGGCCACTGGATTGTACAGTGTATTGTCAAGGTGAGATATCTGACAAGGTTCAGCAGCATCAGGTAGAATTAGACAATGAGACCCTGGAAGAAACGGAAACTCAAACAAGTCTTACTGAAAGGACTAAAATTTCTCGTCACCTTACGCTGGAGGCAGCTCACACTGAAGAGCACAATCCAGACCCTGCAACAGATGACAGCGGAGAAAGATTCTATGATGCCCCAGAAGATCATGCAGATGAACATCGGCCACAGCAGAACTGCTCCAGTCCCAACAGAGACGAGAGGCCAAAGTCACAAGCACGTGTGTCAGGTGAATATATTTGGCTACCTCCTACAGTTATTTCCAGAGAACAGTTTGGAACGTGATCATGGATTATTGTGGGGAAGGGATATCGGGGGGGGCCAGTTCTGTATTTCAAAACATTTTCCTTTGAGCTTCCCATGACACTGGTTATTTGGTCAGTAGTGTTCGTACATCACCAGTCCATTGGCTGGGATGTCTTGGTAATTCTATAGAGAGTTATACTGTTGATTAACCCGTTTAATCCGAGGCTCCTGAGCTATTCAGTAAACTCAGGTTGTCCAAAGCTTTGCTGCTCCTTATTAAAATTATCTTCATTCACCTTTAACAGGAAATTACATAACCCTGGACGGATTTCCGCAGACTGAGGGGAGCTCCGCTGATGAAACTGACATGTCAGTGATTCAGGCTGAATGTTCAGTGGATTGTACTACCCAAAGCACAGAAGCTAGGGAGGATTGCAGTGTCACTGGACCATGTCATCCAGGTGTGGAATTTGGACAGTTGCTTCCTTCGTTGGATGTACAAAATCAAATCCTTCAATTGATACAAAGCATAGAGTCTGATCTGAAACATTTAAAGGTATGACCCTTCTTGGTAAATACTTAATCAGTCACCCCGACCCTTGGTGCGATAGCATTGTCAGGCTCCTTTGATGGAACTGGTGGATTTTCTCACTTTATCACTGAGCATGAGCTGGTGTCGCTGTCAGTAGTGACATGCATAAATGTTCTTGTGTGTTTATAAACTACATTTTTTAGGAAGGAAGAGTGTTTACAAACTCCAGGTGGGGCCCTGATCAGAAGCTGAAATGGGTTCTGGTTGAAAGCTCCAGTGCTTTTTTTGATGATTAACTTTAATGCTTTTTCGTCTAGGATAGAGAAGACCAACATTTGGCTTGATAGAGATCTTATAAATTATTTAGAATGTTTAATAGGTTGAGGTGTTCTCATTGTGGTGAGACCAGAACAACGGGGATCAATATAAGTCAGTAATAAATTCAGGAGACTTTTTTTTACTTTTTTAACAGCACTGTGGTGTTCCTAGACCTCATGGGCTACAGCAGTTCAAGAACGCGGTTAGGCACCACCACCTCAAAGGCAACTAGGGATGGGTAGTAAATATATGAATAGTGAGAATGTGGAGCTCATTAGCATAGAAAGTGGTCAGAGTGAATTGTGTAGATACATTTAATGGGAAGCCAAAGAAACCCAAGGGAGAGAGAAAGGAATAAAAGGTTTTGTTGTTGGGATGCGATGAAGTTGCGTGAGGAGGATTGTGTGGACTACAAACACCAGAATGGACCTGCTAGTTTTTGCAATTATGTGCTTGCCTGTTAGCTGCTGGGAATTGCTGTGTTAACTGACAGTTGGAGATACTGAGGTACCAGAATTTCTGTAGATGTTGACTCCTTATCTTTAGGAAATGTATGATATCAACTCTGTGCAAGGGCAACCCAGAGCATTGAAACTGCACTGTTAGTCTTGCTGTATTCCTTAAATCCTATCCAGGCTCTGATACTTCCTGGGAACTGAATGGAAACTGGTGACTTGAACTTTGAAATCGAGAGTGAAGGAATCATCATTGATGCTGGGTAGAACAATCTCCCCTTGTTTAGATACCCCTTTCATATCTCTTTCTGTCTATCTGTCTCTCTTCCAGCTCTGTCTCCACCTATCTGCTCAACTCTTCCTTTCTACCCTGGTGGCTTCAGCAGCTACTAACAGGTCTGATGAAGAGTCACTGGATTCAAAATGTTAACTCTCTGCTTTCTTCCCACAGATGTTGCCAGACCTACTGAGTTTCTCCAGCAATTTCTGTTTTTGTTTCTGAATTCCAGCATCCATAATTCTTTGTTTTATTGCGGAATAATATTTTCTCCATTTTCCCTACAAATGGAGTCACACGGAGTGAGTGAGACAACGAAGGGAAGTGACATATTGCAAAGAATTACATCACATTCTGCTCCCTGTTCCAGGTGGTTAACAGACTCTGATCCAGTCCTTGATACAGAATCTCAATGGGAGGGGGAAATAATAGGATAAAAAGAGATACGTTGATGCAAATGATTGAGGATGATCATCATTTCAAAGTATTTTAGAACAATCCATAATACAAAACAACCATAGTCAATAATTTGTGAGAAAATGATGTAGTGCCAGAAAACTGGAAGATTGCTAATGTATTTTCAAAGTTAAGAATAGGTCCAACATGCCTGGGGAATTCTAGACCAGTGATCTTCAATTTGGTAAGGAAAAGGATAATGTGTACCTGGGTAAGGAAGGAAGAGCATCTGGATAAAAGGGGTGGAATGATGAATGCTCAGCATGAATTTCAAGAAGGAAAACTTTGCTTGATCAGCTTTGTTTGTTTTGTTTCACATAACGATTACAGCATCGGGGAAAAACATTTGGGCCATTGTGTCTGCAGTAGCTGTCTGAAGAAGCAGATAACCTAATGTGATTTTCCCCACCTTTTCCCTGTAATCATCTTTTTCCAACTCCCTTTTAAATCTATCAATTGAATCTGCCTCCTTTCCAGATTCAGCATTCATTGTATAGTTTTTTCCTCCTGTTGCTATTGCTTCTGTTGCCAATTACCTTAAATGTTTGCCCCCTCATTCTCAATCCCTTCACAATTATAACAGTATAACAGTTTTTTCCTACCTAGGCTGTTTACACCAGTCATGATTTTGAATATTTCAGTCAAATATTAAATTTTATAACCTCTTCTCCAGATATTGGTGAGGATGTAGAACTTTCTACCATGAGGAATGGCTGAAGTGAATGGAATAGATGTATTTAAGGGAAGTTCATTAAGCATGTGAGGGAGCAACTTGTTATTTTTTAATATTCACATGGGATGTGGCAGTTGCTGGCTGGCCAGCATTTGTTGCCCATCCCTAGCTACCCTTGAACTGAGTAGCTTGGTAGTCCATTTCAGAGGGCAGTTGAGAGTCAACTGCATTGTTTTGGGTCTGGAATCACATGTAGGCCAGACCAGGTGAGGATGGCAGAGTTCCTTCCCTGAAGTAGATTAGTGAGACAAATGGTTTTTTCTGGCAATCAACGATGGTTTCATGCTCATCAGTAGATTCTTGACTCCAGTTTTTTCTTTAACTGAATTCAAAGTCCATCATCTGCCTTTTGAACCCTGAACATTAACTGACTTTCTGGATCAATAGTCTAACGATAACACCGCTAGGCCATCACCTCCCCGTTGCAGACCGTTACGGTTGTAAATTGAAACACGCTAAGCAGCCTGTTTCTGTATATCCAGTGCAATCTTATGCATTTCTCTGTGATTTCAGGAGGTGGAGTTGGAATATTACAGTCAGCAGATCCTGGAATCAGCAGCGTCACATGAGAGAACAAGTAAGTAATCAGTTTGCACTGCACCTTCATTTTGCTGGACTAGGCGTGTTAATTTCACGAGGATTGAAATAGACTCTTCTCCAAAATGAGGGTTTCCATTTTATTGTGGAATCATGAGATTCCTTTTTGTACTTCAACCCGAAATATCTCATCATTCATGTTTTTGTCCCTATTTGCTAAGAGATTAGAAATATATAACACTCTCTCCTATTTTGTTTCAAATGTGTTGAATGCACGCATGTAAATCCCGCACATGCACTATTTAGTTTGTACTCCTCCATCTCTACAGACCTGAATTGATGCAGCAAACAGTATCATGAGAAAGCCAGAATTATATGAAAGTAATTTAGTTTAACAAATGCTATTTTGAGTTAATAATACATAAATCATTACTATGGTGAACAATCTGAAAACCAGTGCCAACAGTAACAATTGTGGATTGGTTTTAGAGAATGCTGTTGAAATAGACACAAGGGAAGGATTCACAACATGGATTTGAGGGTCGTAGTGAGAAGACCATGTCATTGAGTGGATCACCTGTGATTGGATGCTCCAGAGTTGATGAAATTTGAATCTGAATTGACTAATATTTGGTTTCTCAGGAATCCGGAGATTTAGGGAGTAGCAGAACATGAAGTTTTTATTGAAGATCAGCCTTGATCAGCTGAAATGTTGGACAGCCTCAAGGTGCTTTTTAATCAACTATTGCTTCAAATTTAAATGTTGTCTTATCTCCACAGGAGACAGTTAATGCAGTCCGTTTGGATATGGAATCGAGCCAGACTTGGTGTTGAAATGTGGGTGCTTGGATCTGATCCCTCAAAGCTCCGGTTAACTCTGGACTTTGGAGACATTTGTGGAACCAAATGTTGATTCTGTAAATGCCGCTGAGTTCTACATGTCATTTTTGGGATGGTCCTGCCAGTTACCAGTGAGCGCTGCTGGTTTCCGATGCACTGGTGAGTTCCGGAACAGTTGATATAATCGCCTTCCCTTGTGTACACGCACCTCTGTTGATTATAGAACTGATCTCACTCGCCACATGTCCAAAAACCAAATGTACAGAAATTCGGAAGAAAATCAATTTAGATTTTGAAGAAATCGAGATGTATTTATTTGTATCCACTTGCTATGATAATGCAATCTTTTTGTTATAATTTTTATTTTTGTAGTCTGCGTTGAGCTGATATGCAGACGAAGATTGAGATCTGGTCAATAAATGGAATTCAAGCTGTGGGTTCCAACACTGGGGGCAGTGAAATAGATGGAATAGGGGTGCAAGAGATTATTACACAGGGTGTGAGAGAACCACGACACAGTTGGGATGTGAGAAGGAGAGTTAAAGACTGCTGGTGTATGAGAGGATGTTGTGTTATTTACAGTTTCATAGCTGCAGCATAAATCTGAGAAGGTTAGACAGGTTTCAGAACCATCTGCATTTGCTGCTGTATCCTGATGAGCTGTAGAATCGGGGTTCTGGACCAAAGCTGCTTTATTAGCAAAACCTCCACATGGAGAGAAGCAGCAGATTAAAGAGCAGGTAATTGTTTCAGTCTAGAACGATGAACTTTAAAATCTGTCGTTTCCCTGAGCATGTGCAGTTCATTTGTACTTTAAGTGCTTGCAAACGCATTTACCTGAGACAATCTGTTCTTTTCTCAAACATCTATTTCTCACCGAGAGGGAAGTTTTGGAAAAACAAATTATTTGGTTATTAAAGGTAGACCTGGTTTCCGAAATAAAATGTTGGAAATATTAAAATCCTGGGCTTGGGCTGACCAGACTTACCTTCAAGCATTTAGAATGTCACCTCCCAAGAACAGTGAAACACACAGTAAGTGGACCTTCCTATCCATTCCTGTGCCACTTGTTTAAGAAGCTGTTTCCACAGACATGCCGTGTTTAATTATGATTTCTATTTCAGTAATTGGTCTCAGATGTGGCTATGAGGAGTAGTTTCATTGCTGAGCTGACTGTCAGCCCATAACTAAGCTGGAAGTACTGTCATGTAGTTGTTGATGTTTTGTACCAATTACAAAGTGAGCACAGAAGCAGTTAATGTGAACCTAGTGCTGGATTTCATTGTAAAGTCTGATTGAAACAATCACTTTCAGCTCTCAAACGTCAGTTACTTGACTGCATGTTCTAACTCTGCGGATTGCTCCTGACGTGTATACACATCTGGTGTAGCCCCTATTGCTGTCCTATTATATTGCCCTGCACACTACACTAACCTTGCTGCCTCCCCTAACCTATAGTTTTAAAGTTTAGAACTTTGACATATTTCATTTGTTTTTATCTAATTTTGTAAAATAGCATCTCATGTAAGATTTAGTAAAGACATTATGTTACTTGAAAAAATATAATTCTGTTTCTGGGATCTGGGTTTTAAAGAAATGTTTCATTATAATTATAATGTTGAAATATAATTAAAAAGCTTGTGGCTGAAATATTTGCTTCTATTACTTTTGCCCTTGTGTGTAGTTTGTGATTTTCCAGTCTGACCGTCTATTCTTCAAAAATGAGGCTGAGCTGGTTGGTGCCTGAATTCCACGGTCACTGAGCTGTCTGTTCTCCACATATCAACCTACCCTGGACAGCTGAGGGCCCCTCTTCCCCCATGCATCACGCCGCTGCACCTACAGGGGTAGGTGGTGGCCTAGTGGTATTATTGCTAGACTGTTAATCCAGAAACTCAGCTAATGTTATGGGAACCTGGGTTTGAATTTGAATTCCATAAAAAGAAATCTGGAATTAAGAATGTACTGATGACCATGACATAAATGTCAACTGCAGACAAAATGCAGAAACAGCTTTGTCAACTCTGCAAAGTCCTCCTCACTAACATCTTGAAGTTAGTGTCCAAATTGGGAGAGCTGCCTCAGACTAGTCAAGCAACATCCTGATATTGTCTGTAAGGTATGATTCTGTGAGTATGACTATGTCCTAGGCACCATTGCCATCCCTGGATTTGTCCTGTCTCACCAGCAAGACAGACCCAGCAGAGGTGGTATACAGTCAAGAGGGAGTTACCCTGAGAGTCCTCAACACTCACTCCGGACCCCATGAAGTCTCATGGTTTCAGCTTAAACATGGGCAAGGAAACCTCCTGCTGGTTACCACATAGCTCCCTCGCTCCCTCGCTCGCTCCCTCCCTCCCTCCCTGTTGAACAATACCTGGAGGAAACACTGAGGATGACAAGGGCACAAAATGTGATCTGGGTGGGGGATTTCAATGTCCACCACCAAGAGTGGCTCGGCTGCAGTACTACTGATCGAGCTGGTTGGGTCCTACAGGACATAACTGCTAGACTGGGTCTGCGGCAGGTGGTGAGGGAACCAACAAGAGAGAAATACATACTTGACCTCATCCTTACCAATCTGCCAGCTGCAGTTGTATCTGTCCATGACAGTATTGGTAAGAGTGACCATTGCACAGTCCCTGTGGAGACAAAGTCCTGCCTCTACATTGAGAATAACCTCCATCGTGTTGTGTGGCGAGGCACTGTGGGCCATCAACCACAGCAGAATTGTACTCCACAATCTAACCTCATGGCCTGGCGTATCCCCTACTCAACCACTGCCATCAAGCCAGGGGATCAACCCTGGTTCAATGGGGAGTGCACAAGGGCATGCCAGGAGCAGCACCAGGCATACCTGAAGAAGAGGGGTCAACCTGGTGAAGCCACCAAATAGTATGCCAATCAGCATAAGCAGCAAGTGATAGATAGAGCTAAGTGATCCCACAACTAACAGATCAGATCTAAGCTCTGCAATCCTGCCACATCCAGTCATGAATGGTGGTGGATAATTAAACAACTCACTGGAGGAGGAGGCTCCATAAATATCCCCATCTTCAATGATGGAAGAGCCCAGCACATCAGTGCAAAAGATAATTCTGTGAAAGCTTCAGCCAGAAGTGCTGAGTGGATGATCCATCTCGGCCCCCAGCATTACAGATACCAGTCTTCAGCCAATTCGATTCACTCCACGTGATATCAAGAAACAGTTGGAGGCACTGGACAATGTGGAAAATTGCCCAAGTATGTCCTCTACATAAAAAGCAGGATAAATCTAACCTGGCCAGTTACTGCTCCATCAGTCTACTCTCGATCATCAGGAAAGTGATGGAAAGTGTCATCACCAGTGCTATCAAGCAGCACCTGGTCAGTGGCGCACAGCTTGGGTTTCGCCAGGGCCACTCAGCTCCTGACCTCATTACTGCCTTGATTCAAAAATGGATAAAAGAGCTGAATTCCAGAGAGTGACAGCCCTTGACATCAAGGAGCCCCAGCAAAACTGGAATCAGGGGCAAACTCTCCGGTGGTTAGAGTCATCCCTGACACTTAGGAAGACGGCGGTGGTTGTTGGAGGTCAGTCATCTCAGCAGGAAATCCTCAGGGTGGCGTCCGAGGGCCAACCATCTTCAGCTGCTTCATCAATGACCTTCCCTCCATCATACGGGAGGATGTTCACTGATGATTCAACAGTGTTCAGCACCATTCATCACTCCTCAGACACTGAAGCAGTACATGTTCAAATGCAACAAGATCTGGACAATACCGAGGCTTGGGTTGACAAGTGGCAAGTAACATTTGTGCCACACAAATGCCAGACTATGACCATCATGAATAAAAGACAATCTAACCACAGCCTCTGACATTAAATGGTGTTACCATCACTGAATCCCCCACTATCAACATCCTGAGGATTATCATTGACGAGAAACTCAACTGGACTCACCACGTAAATATAGTGGCTACAAGAACAGGTCAGAAGCTGGGAATACTGCAGGGAGTAACTCGCTTCCTGACTCCTCAAAGCCCGTCCACCATCTACAAGCCACAAATCGGGAGTGTGATGGAATACTCCCAACTTGCCTGGATGAGTGCAGCCCCAACAATACTCGAGCTTGACACCATCCAGGACAAAGCAGCCTGCTTGATTGGCACTACATCCACTATCTATAAGATACACTGCAGAAATTCACCAAAGATCCTCAGAAAGCACCTCCCAAACCCATGACCACTTCCATCCAGAAGGACAAGTACAGCAGATAGATGGGAATACCTCCACCTTCAAGTTCCCGTCCAAGCCACTCACCATCCTGACTTGGAAATACATCACTGGTCCTTTACTGTCGCTGGATTGAAATCCTGGAATTCCCTCCCTAAGGGCATTGTGGGTCAACCCACAACAGGTGGACTGCAGTGGTTCAAGAAGGCAGTTCACTCCCACCTTCTCACCAGCCAGCGATGCCCATATCCCACAAATGAATTAGAAAAGAAGTCTCCTGATTAGTCTAAGTGCTTGGTCACAGTATTGGCTGTGATCAGTTGTTTGCCCTCTATCCAGGGAATATGAATATTGCAGGTGTTTGTGTTTTGAACCAACTAATTTTAATACGAATTTTTAAGTGAGCTGGAGTAGTATTTTCTATTGTAATTCCTGATATTTCTTTAATTCTTCAAGTCTATTTGCAGAGGAGTGGGATTCGGCCATTTGGCCACTAGTGCAGGCTCAATAAGGTCAAGGCCGATCTCCACCGTAAAGGTTGATGAAACTAAGATGGTTTAAATCAGAATGAGCCTAAATTCTAATGAAATTGTTTTTATTTTCAAGTTGATCTTCCTACACTCAGCAAAAGGCTGAAATCTTAAAACTAAGAACAGTTCAGACTACCTCCAGCTAAAGGATTGAGTTCTCATGCCTCTAAATTAATCACAAAATCCAGACCTTATGATCCTTCACTATAGTACTAATACTTAAATAAAACAAAGTTAATTCAACATAAATTCCCCAACAGTACAAAAATGCGTTGCTTCTTAAATTCTGATCAATGCCACTGTACTCCTGTTCCCAAAGTGATTGCTTCTGTCTTCACTGTTGTTACAGTTTCAGGTTTGGTGTGTTTATCAGTACCCAGCCAAACAGCTGTGTCATCACTAGAAGTGTGGGGAGAATCGCTGGCTCACTACAAGCACTTAAAGCTGCAGAGACACAAAGAAGAAATGGTTAATTTTGGATGGCAAATAGCATTAACATGTAGGTGAGGAACACACATCAGGAGCCATTGCACAAATCACATTTTGAAACCTGCCTTCGGCATTGTTGTATGTGAGCTGACCGAGCCCCGCACTGACCAACCTGCTGGTCTGGCCAAACTGATTTTGATTGTTCCAAAACTAAGAAAAATCATTTTGTTGGCAGCCTACCTTGACAGTGTTTGCCATCCCAGTGCAGAAATCCAGTGGTACAACTGCAGACTGCGTGCTCCACCTGACTCGTACAAATCTGTTCACAGCCACCGTTGTCCGTCTCACACCAATCAGCTGCTGTACAAAGAGGGAAGACATTCACAACAATGCCGTTAAACTTTTGTTAATGTCACACAGGGTCTGCAATCACCGTCTACCTCATTAGTGTTTGTATAGCACATCCAGGCACCCGAACAATACTGGAATAGTGCAGAGAGTCCTGTGAATTTCAGTGGCTCACAGGACAGACCATAAATGTGCACTGGACTTATGATATTATCAAAGTCTTCCATCTATGCCTTGACTACCTCAAGACTTGACAAGTTGAACACTCTTGGGTAGGGCTTATACAACTAATCGTGTGACCTTGTGTAGTTTGTAGAACAGAGAGATCTAGGGGTTCAGATACATAATTCTTTGAAGTTTGTGTCATATATAGACAGGATGATTAAAAAGGCATTTGGCTAACTTGCTGTCATTGCTCAGTCCTTTGAGTAAAGAAGTTGGGCAGTCATGTTGAGGTTGTACAGGACATTGGTGAGGTCTCTTCTGAAATACTGTGTCCAGTTCTGGTCGCCGAGTTATAGGAAGGATATTATTGAGCTGGAGAGGGTTGAGAAGAGATTTTTTTTTTTCTTTATTCATTCACAGGATGAGGGCGTCACTCGCTAGACATTAGTGAACCAGGTGGGTTTTTCTGACAATTGACAATGGATTCACGGTCATCATTAGATTGTTAATTCCAGATATTTATTGAATTCAAATTCCACCATCTGCCATGGTGGGATTCAAACCCGGGTCCCCAGAACATTATCTGAGTCTCTGGATTAACAGTCCAGCGATAATACCACTAAGCCATTGCCTCCCCTTACCTTGCGATCCTTACCTGGATGTTGCTGGGTGTGGAAGGTTTGAATTATAAGGAGGCTGGGACTTCTTTCATTGGACTGTAGGAGGTTGAGACGCAACCTTATAGAAGTTTATAAAATGATAAAGGGGTATAGACAGAGTTAATGGCAGTTGTGACCTTCAGGTCCAGGCCCTCAGCTCTGGAACAAAAACAGGAGTTGCTGGAAAAGCTCAGCAGGTCTGGCAGCATCTGTGAAGAAAAATCAGAGTTAACGTTTCTGGTCTGGTGACCCTTCCTCAAAACTCAGCTCTGGAAGTCTGCCTCTACCTCTTTGTTTTGAAAAGGTTCTTTAAAACCCTCCACTTTAGCCAACCTTTTGGACACTTGTTCCAATAATGGCTCATTGTGAAATTTTGTTTGTTAACAGTCCTGTGAGGGGCCTTTGGGATGTTTTACTTCAGTAAAAGCATCATGTGAATCCTCATGGTTGGGGAGGGGTTTTGACAAGGTACTTCTCAAAATGTTGTTAGAAGAGCCCACAGTGGCATAAATAGAGAATTGCTGATGGGCAAGTGGGCTAAGGGTTTTTTTTCAGGTTGGTGATCTGTGACCAGCAGGGATCAATGCTGGAACCTCAACTGTTTTCAACATCTATCACTGACTTGGAGGCAAGAAGTGATATACTGTAGTCAAATTTGCAGACAACGCAAAGGTGGAAAGCAGGTTGCGAGAGGGATACAACCAGTTTACACACAGATAGTGATTTGTTAAGTGGGCAAAAAAGTGGCAAATGAGTATAGTGTAGGAAAATGTGATGTTCATTTTGGAAAGGAGAACAAAAGAACAGACTATCATTTAAATGAAAAAATAACTCCAGAAAGCTGAAACACAAAGCTAGCACACAGAGGAAGCAGGTAATTAGGAAGGCTAATGGAATGTTGGCCCTTGTTTCAAGGAGGTTGGAGAATAGGAGTAGGGAAGTCTTACTGCAACTGTACAAGGTGTTGGTGAGACAAATCTAGAATACTGAAACCTGTTTTGGTTCCCTTATTTAAGCAAAGATATCACGTCATTGGAGGCAGCTCAGAGAATGTTCACTCAGATGGTCCCTGTATGTATGGAGGGATTCTCTTATGAGCAAAGGCCAAACAGTTTGGGATTCTCAGGAGTTTAGAAGAATGAGAAGTGATCTCATTGAAAGATACTGGATTCTTAAGGGACCTGACAGGGTAAATGCTGAGAGGATGTTTCTCATGGGAGAGTCTAGGACCAGAAGGCATAGTCTCAGAATAAGGGGTGCTGATTTAAGACTGAGATGTGGAGGAATTTCTTCTCTCAGATGGTTGTGTTTCTATGGGTCTCCTTGCTTCAGAGAGAGAGCTGACTGGCCAGAATCATTGTGCATGTTTAAGGCTGAGATAAATAGATTCTTGATCAGTCAGGGAAGCAAAGGTTACAGGGAAAAGGCATGAAAGTGGACATTAGGATCATGGCTGATCGAGCAGGCTTGAGAGGGCAAATGGTCTATTCCTGTGACAACAAGGTGCAGGGCTGGATGAACACAGCAGGTCAGGCAGCATCATAGGAGCAGAGAGGCTGACGTTTCGGGCCTAGACCCTTCATCAGAAAATTCCTGTTCCCATTTTTTATGATCTTATGGGTTTTTTGTGCAAGGTAAACCCTTTGGCCAAAGAGGCAGCAACTGTTTTGTTAACCAGCATTCTGGGTATTCTGTGACAGCCCATCCAGCACCCTCTGACCAGTTCTCTCTCTTTCTTCCTCTCCTTATTATCTTATTGCTTGCTTTTATCTGAGGAGGTTTTACACATGTAATGATGGGAGTAATCCTGGCCAATATGTGAAATGCTCAACCAGATTGAAACTAACCTCTTTTCCTGATGGGTCCAACAGACAGAATCTGCTGTTTTGTTCGTAGCCAGTCGTCATTGGAGAGCCTCCTGCTGTTTGTTGGACAAGTCTACAAGAACCAACACAGATTCAGTCAATCTACCCCAGCACCAAACCAACTGGAAGAGATGTTTATATAGCTCAGACTCTTCCGATACTATAGAGGGACAGTTTGGGTATTTGTACCAGTTTCATTATACGAGCTCTGAACAAAGGGTCTGTGTGAGCAGTTTGACATTCAGTAATCCAATCCTCACTCAGTGCATCAATTGTTGCCTAGAGTAGGTCCCGTTTGAGGAATGGACAATCTGATTGGAGGGGTTTAGTTTCAAAAGCAAACACCAGGTAAATTCTGCATAATAGTATGAATAGATTTGGAAGCTTGTTCAGTCAGAAATGCTAACAGGAGGCTGATCTTACTCACAACTCTGCAGTTATTTGTATCGGAGTTACACAGTGTCACGTCACAGTGCAGATGGACCTCCTCATAATCACCGATAAACTTGAAAACAACTAGGTGGAAACGGCAGGTGAGAGACACTCCATTCTCCTCCATCTCGATAGTGTTGTCCTTTGAGTTTGGACATCTACTCAAAGCAAGAAGGAGGAGATGCCATCATTATGGATCAGAGGGTGGGGCAATATGTAACCTACCTCCTCCCACAACCACTGGAAGCTGCAAAACACCCTTGCCCCTTGGAGGAGGGGCATTATAAACAATTACAAACAACTCCTGGGAATTTATATCAAAACTCGAGGTAATGATTGTATCAAACTAATTTCATGAGAAAATAGGGTAGACAACGAAAAGGCTGATTTCAGGGGAAATGAAATGAAGGCAGCATTATGAAATAAAAGTATTTCAGAAGATTTCTGAAGGATTGTGGGGGTGGGGGCTGGGGGCTGAGTTCTGTTTTCTGACTGAAGAGAGAGGTACCCAGTTGCACAGGATCACTTTGAGCTGCAGTGAAACAGCCCAGCAAACAGACTCCAGCTGTTTGGCAAGAATATGTGCTTGAGAATTAGGGATGGGATCTGTACTCACATCATGTGCCCATATTAAAAGAAAACCTTAGAAACAGTTCACACAAACCCTTGCTCTATTATCATGTAGCGTAGTCGATCCTTTGGATTCCGGGATGGAGTGGCCCAGCACCGGTTGATGATCAGAATTAAGTGAGTGGCATCTGCTCCCTCGACAAACACTCCAATATACAGGACATCCCGAGTTGTGAGTGTCACCTCGCCCTCTCGATATGGAAACTTGTAAGATGAATTTTTATACAGAGCCATTTTGGTGATGAAACTACCTTCTTTGGTGGGAAGAGTGAGGTTGACAACACTGCAATAAACAAGCTACATCAGTAAATAAATACCATGACGAATTTAAATCTATCTTTCCACACATACCTGGGCACAGACCCCAGCATTGAAATTTAACCATCACAGCCAGAATGTGATTAAACTAAAAACAAAATATTCAGCTGATTCTGATGAAGAGTCAATGGCCTGCTTCCCCTCCACAGAAGCTGCCTGACTTGCTGAGTATTCCCACACACTGTTCAGAAAGTTATTTCACATTTTCAGCATCTGTTGTATTTTACTTTTGTACGAAGACCTTGGATATTTTATTTGAGGAATTTACCCTCTACTGAAAGATGGAAACTTGGCCTGGATGGAGAAGTATTTGTGTGTAGCTTACCTTGGTGCTGCTAAGTCAGTGCACTAGTTTAATTGGCAAACGGTACAGTATGAAATAATTTGATTCTATAAATTACAATAAGTTGAAGATTACAATAAATGAGGTTCAATGCCTCCTGGTTTACAATTCAGTAGCAACAGTGAGATTGGATCTGTAGCTAATATTACTTCTTTGCATTGTAACCGCTAAACTGCAATTTTAACAAATTATTGAAAGACAAGAGTTTGTGGTTGCCCCTAGTGAAATGGGAGGTGTACAATTTCAATAATTTGTGCATCTGTCGGTTGCAGCCTCAAATAGGCCAATATATAGATATCATCTAATCTAAAATATTCAGGAACACTCCAGAGAGAAGATTTATTCATTGAACAGATTTAACAACCACAGTATAAATGATAATTCAGCAAAGTACCTAGAACCCCACAAAATCTGCTTTCTCATCAATTGCCCTTCTCCCACTCATGCTCATATGCACATACACACACTGCCACACAACCTGCTCCCCCATCCACACATACCCTGCCTGCACACACATAGACACAGAGACAGTCCCTCTCTCACACACTCTGCTGCAATAGACACCGTGCTCAGTGCTGGCAGGATCCTGGAGATGGAACGCCATTATATCTGATGTAGGGCATCACTTACCTCAGCATTGGCCTCACAACAGTTTCAAGAGAAACTTTCAGGTCAAGTTCGTAGGCACAGGAGAACTCAACATTAATGACTCTATCACGAGTAATGACATTGTCTGTGTTGTTCAGACTTTCGATCCAGACCGTATTTATGTACATGATATGCGTCTCATTTGTCTGTCGAGAGAGAATACTGTCATCCTGAGACTAGTATCCTGTTATATTCTACAGGACAGTCTGTACACATAGTGTTCCCATCCATCTCTGGCCTGGCAAGCAGACCTAGCACTCTAAGAGCGCTTGTGTTGCAGAGGTACTGTCCCTACCTCTGAGCCCGGAGGCCTGGGTTCAAGTCCCACCTGCTCCACAGGTATGTTTGAATATCTATGAACAGGTTGATTAAAATACCTAGCTACTTGATGAATAGGAAAGTCAATCTACCTTGGTCTTAAAAATATTCAGTGACCATACTTGAATTGAAGAAGAAAATTCCAAAAACTCGCTGCCCTCTGGGAGGAAAAAATAATTCTCATTCCTATCATAAATGAGAGACTGTTTATTTAAAACTGTCCCACGTTCTAATCTCTCTAACAATTGGAAGAATCCTTTCAGTATCCGCTCTGTCATCCCACCAGGCTTTTATGTCTCATTAAGATCACCTCACCTCACCTCACTCTTCTAAACTCCAGTGAATATGGATCCAGCCTGCCCAACCTCTTCTTGTAGGAAAACCCTTTCTCCAAGAAATCAGCCACGTGAACTTTCTGTGCTTCACACATGAGCTTGTGTTGGTGTCCATTTTGGTGTCCAGTGTCCATTTTCCCTTCTTTTCTTCATTCATGGGACGTGGGCATTGCTGGCTAGGCCAGCACTTATTGTCCAGAGAGGACAAGGACTCAACCACATTGCATATTTAGTTCAGACTGAGTAAGGATTGCAGATTTCCTTTCTAAAGGGCCTGAATGAACCAGATGGTTATTTATGACAAATTGGTTACATGGTCACTGTTAGGCTAGCTTGTTTAATTTTTCTACTTTTGTTATTATTGAATCAAATTTCATCATTTACTATGGTGAGATTCAAACCTTTGACCTCAGATCAAACCTTGGGGTTTTGGGTTACTAGTCCAGTGACGATACCATAACACTGCTACATGATCAATCAGGGTAATATGGAAAAGTGTGAGATTTATACATTTTGGTAGGAAGAATAGAGGCATAGACTATTTTCTAAATGGGGAAAAGCTTCAAAAATCTGAACACAAAGGGACTTTAGAATTCTCCTTAAGGTTAATGTGCAGGTTCAGTTGGCAGTTAGGACGGCAAATGCAGCATTGGCGTTCATTTCAAGAGAGTTAGAATATAAGAGCAAGGATGCACTGCTGAGGCTCTAAGACTCTGGTTAGACCTCATTTGGAATATTGAGAGCAATTTTGTGCTCGGTATCTAAGAAAGGATGTGTTGACCTTGGAGGAAGTTTACAAGAATAATCCTGGGATGAAGGGCTTGTCATGAGGAGCGGTTGAGGACTCTGGGTCTGTACTCAGTGGAGTTTAGAAGGATAAGGGAGGAATACTGAGAGACTTTTATAGAGTGAATCTGGAGAAGAAGATGTTTCCACTACTAGGAGAGACAAGGACCCAAGGATGCAGCCTCAGAGTGAAGGGATGACCCTTTAGACTGAGATGAAGAGAAATTTCTTCAACCAGAGAATGGTGACTATGGAGGCCATTGAGTGTATTTAAGACAGAGTTAGATAAGTTCTTCATTAGCAAGGGGATCAAGGGTTACAGGGCAAAAGCAGGAGAATGAGTTTGAGAAACATATCAGCCACGATTGAATGGCAGAGCAGACGCAATGGGCTGTATGGTCTAATTCTGCTTCTATAGTTTATGGTCACTTTCAAAGAGTAAACCATGATTTCAGCTCAGCATGTTTCCTCCTGTTAATTGTCATTATCAATCTACCCTCTAACTCTGCGTTTAATAACTGAGAGAGCATACAGCAAGGATGTCCCAGCTCCCAGCTGGCCCAGACCTGAGGGAACTCTGGGACAGACACTGATAGACAAGCTTACTCTTGTTCTATAATAATCTCTCAAATCAGAGGGGAATTCATCCTCAGCAGCTCCCACTCTCACAGGTCAAACTTCAAGTCCCAACACATTTCTCTCCAAACCTCCTCCTGAAGCTCTGATCCCAGAGAACCCAGTGTGTCCCCCGCCCTGAGCTCAATGATCCCTTTCCCTCCTCCCTGACAGGCCTATGCATCTTGCAACTTGACTCAGCTTCCAAAGAAGGGACAGGAATAGAAACTAATTACAAACTCCTTAACTGAAAGGACTTGAGTCTTTGGAAGAAGAAAGGAAATGTGACTGGGGAAAATGCTAGAACAATTGATTGCACCTGCTAAGAATGAGGACTTAACTAAATCTACTGGTGACAAATACTACAGGTAAGAAATACTCACTTTCACAATATTGCCACAGTTGTGGTTGGTATTATTGATGTGAAATGCAATAAAATCATCTCCTTCCGACCCCATACAGCGTATATCATTAATTCGAACATCTTCACGCTCAAAGCCCAACTGATAAAGTTGACATTTGGAAATATAAACGTCCATCTGTGAATATTTACACACCACGTCTGCCTGGACAATATCATCTGTAATGGCACGGCGAAGGAACAGGATTTAATAGTGAATGACAACTGTCTAAGAAGCAAAACTTGGTGAATGGACCAATCTACATACAGCAGTCTTGAACTGAAAACCCTTTGAATTGATAGCAGGCCCTTCTGGGTGCAAATGTGTAATCTGTAGACGATTCACAGCAAAAGTCTTTTCCCTCAAGTGTTGTATGTGGAACTAGGCAGTGGTTCAAGTTAACAGCAGAAACACATGCATGGAGAAGCTGGGTAAATAGGAAAGGAGAGAAAACTAGAGGAGGTATTAATCAAGTGAGAGGTGGTCCATGTGAAACATATACGCCAGCCTGTTCTAGTTGGGCCAAATCCCCTGTTTTGGTGCCCTAGACAATCGAACGCTATGTATGCCAAGAATGTACTTCAGTGCAGTATTCAGGGAGTGTTGTGCTGGGATATTAAGACAAGGTCTGTTGAACCACCGAGATGGATTTAAAGGATTTCGCAGTATGAACCACAAACAGAAAAGGTTTCTTCCTGGCGTCTGAACATTCCAGTTAATGAAGATTCTGATTAATTACCCAATTTTCTGTTTCTGACAAATAACTTTCAATTTTTAGTTGACTGAAATTGAGAATTTGAGAATCTTGAAAAATATGAAAGTAACTTCTTGCTTTTTATTGAACGAATGGTCTTGACTTTCTGGACCATTTATTTGTGAATGTTATTTCTTTTGGAGGAATCTTGCCAGTTCACACAGGGTCCAGGATCTGTCGCTCAATCTCCATATTTGTGACCATGAATTAACCTTTGGAATAAGATCTAAATAAATAAATTCAGGTTACTGATGTTTGTAACTGGGGTTGATCTATGGAAATCTGTAATCAGAGACCATGGACTGAATTTTCACATTGGGAGGGCAGGATTGGGGTTGGAGCTGTTTCCGAATCCCAATCCTGTCCTGGTCAGCAAGTGGAGCAAGAATAGCATCAGTCTTTGGAATTTTCATTGAGTAGCCCTCCCTTAGTCACATACGGATATTGTTCAATTAATGGTGGGAGAGGGTTCACAAAGTCAAACAGCCAATCAGATTCAACAGTGAAGTGCAAGTTGCCTCATCAGTCCTTTTAAAGAATTAACAGCAGAGAACTGACATGGACATATTGGTCGCCTCTGCACTGATACTATTCAGTGAGAATTCTAATTTACCCAGTCCAACCCAGGAAACTGCAGCTAATTCACCATAAGATATCTATTTTCACATTTATGTGAATGAAACAGCTTCCACCTGAACATATTGCTGGAAAGTTTCCTACACCATTCCTCCTTCAGTTAGAGATTCACCTACTCGGTATTTAGTTTAGGTATTCAGTATTTCTGCATATTTACCACTGTATGGGCTTGGCTCTTCTGGGCAGCCACAGAGATCACCATTACCCTGTCGGCATAAACTGTAGTTGGTACAAATGCCTCCAGCACATGGATCCTCAATCAATTCTGCTAAAAGGAAACAGACACAAATGGTTAACTCTCAGCAACCTCCAGCAACATTCACCTGCCAAGAACTGCAATCAAATGATGGACACACTGGAGTTTGTAGGAAACCATGCAATCCCTGTAAAATATTTGCAGCGTCAGTAGCTTCAGCTGTTCAACTGGAGCCTGAGCTGCTGGCATTGCAGGTTAATGGGGAGAAGGGAGAGTTGCCAGAACATATTAACAGAGTTTGAGAGTTGGTCAAAGGCAGAGGGGGTGACTGGGAGTCCGGGAAGCATGCAGATCCAGCTGCAGTAATAGAGGAAACTCTGCTGTTGACTTTGATCAACAGGTTTGAGGGACTGACTCATGTGGATGGGTAACTGACCATAGCAGCATGGTGTAGGAAGCCATTCAAGTGGGGAGGGTGGGTGGTAATAGAGAATGGTATAAATCGGTGGTGAGAGGAGCGAAGGTAGACTGAAAGGAAATGTTGTTTTTCTGCTACTAGGGTTAAAGTCAAAAACAGAGGGTGGTACGCATATGAAATGAGCTGCCAGCAGAAGTGGTTAAGGTGGGTGTATTAATGACAAGTAAAAGGCATTTGGATGAGTACATAGATAGAAAGGTTTAGAAGGATATGGGCCAAGTGCAGGGAAATGGGGTTAATGTGGATGGACATTTTGGTCAGCGTGGACCAGTTTGGGCTGAAGGGCCTGTATCCGTGCTTTAGGACTCTATGACTCTAATGGGAGGAGCCTTGACAACTGAAGAATGATGTCCTGCTGAGAAATGTTGAGGAATTATGTTCCAAATTAAAAAGCAGGACCTTAAATCGCAGGATTGTTACTTGAGCCACTTGCTCATAGGCTTTGGGTCAAGCATATTAGAAAAATATAGTTCAAAAAGTGGCACGGGAAGAAATGGTTGCAATTCATGGGTCACTAATACCAGTACTATGGAATGAAGGTCCATTTGAACTGGATTGGGTCAGTGTCCTGGCAAAGCGTGTAAGTAGAGCGATTGATAAGGCTGTAAACTAAAAATGGTAGGGGGTGTGGGGAGTGGTGAAGTCTTAGGTGAAGGAGAATTTAGAACATACAAATATTTGAAATGGAAACAGTAGACCATTTGGCCCCTCAAACTTTCTCCACCTTTAATAAGACCAAGGCTGATTTGTTTGTGTTTTGAATTTTACATTTCCATCTACTCCTGATTCCCTGCCTTTAAATAATCTATCTATTCCTGCCTTAAAAATATTCACCGACCCAGCTTTCTGAGACAAAGAGTTGCAAAGTCTCAAACCTCTGAGAGAATAAGAAAGAGTTTGTGTTTCCATCCTGAAAGCACTACCTTAGTGGCCCTAGTTCTGGACTGACCACAAAAGGAAACATTCCTTCCACATCCACCTTGTTAAACCCATTCAGGATCTAAAGAGAAGAGTCAAAGCAGCTGAGCATTGTCATGATTTGGGAAAAGACATGCAAATTGAGACAGAGTCACAAGGGAATTTTATGATAATGCTGTATCACTTCGTAGGAGCTTTCTTAGTAGTTTCTGGGTGTTGTGTAACCAATTAGGAGTAAGGTAATTTTTTATTAAATGTTGTGCTGTATAGAGGTGCATACTAATCTTAGTGTCAGTGACATATTCCAATTTCAGAATTGTTAACTTAAAAGTCATTTAAGAGGGGAGAACTAGTTAAGTTGATTGGGTATATAGTCTATAACTTAGAGTGCTAATAAAACTGAGGAAAAAGCAATTGTTTAAATGAGAGAAGTGCTGCAAAGCTAAGTGCTGGGATCTCAGCTATTTACAAATTTGCATTCCATGAAAAAGTTAAAATTCAGCAAGAAAGATCCATCCATGTTTCAGTAGTAAAGTTACAGATTACATTAATTTAAAGGAAGAAAATGTGGCAAAAAATAGTAGGCAGCCTGAGGAAAATTGTAGAAACCAGCACAATACCACTGAAGTTGATAAAAGGAAAAAAAAATAAAATGAGAGTAAACCTGCTGAGAATATAATGAAAAAATGTGGTAAGAGCTCTTACAAATATATAAAAAGGCAAGTAGCAAAATAAACATTGGTCCTTTAGAGGCTGAAACAGAAGAAATTATAATGGAGCATGAGGTACAGACGTGTCTATACACAACAGACAGCACAATTACATACCAGAAAGCAAGGATACCCCATTGATTTAAGTGAGTGATGAAATTAAGGTAATTCTTTTTCTGTAAATGATATTACTAGAGACACTAAAGAGACTAAAAAATCAGCAAATTCATAGGGTCTGATGACCTCCATCTCAATGCTGTAAAAATGGTAGCTGTAGAGATGTTGGTTGCATTAATTATATAATTTTATGAAATTATACAGATTCTAGAATGATTCCATTACATTCAAAGTTAGTAAATGTAACACCACTATTCAAGAAAGAGAAAGTCCAAACCAGCCAGCCTATCATCAATCATTGGGAAAATACTGCACTCTGTTATTAAGAAAACCTTAACAATACGTTTAGCAAATCATTGTATGTTACGATCAATATGAATTTATGAAAGGAAAATCACGTTTAATTAATTTGTTATTTTGAAGGTGTAATTAGTAGCGTGGATAAAGACATCAAGTAAATGTTGAGTTCTGAATTTCCAAAAGGTATTGAATAAGTGCCACAGAACAGGGTTATTATGCAAGATAAGAGCTAATAGAATTAGGGGTGATATATTAGCAATGGACAGAAGATTAAGGGGCAGAAAGCAGACATCAGGACTTTCACGTTGGCACCTGTAATGAGGGGAAGGCTTCTGGTGGATTGGAAGACTGGAAACATTAAATGATGAGCGTTGATGATGCAAAGGGATTGGTTATGGGACAAATAAAGGAAAAAAGGTTGTGACTAAAGGCTTGGGAATCACAGGGTGGAGGCACAGGCTTAGGATAAGAGGTTGATCATTTAGGACTGAAGTGAGGAGAAATTTTGTCACTGCAAATCTTTGGAATTATCTACTGCAAAGCATTGTTGCCATTCCATCATTGAAAACATTCTTAACTGAGATTAATTAAAATTTTAATCTCTCAGGGAATCAAAGGATATAGGGAAACAGTGCAAAAGTGGATTATGGTTGAAGATCAATCATGATTGTATTCATTAGCAGAGTGGATACAAGGGGCCTTATGGCCTACTCCAGTTCTTCTTTAGTTTTGTGCACTTAGACCATCAGAAGCATTTGTTACATGCATTCAAGTGAGATGGCCTTTTTTTGTCCATTTGTTCACAGAATGTGGGCGCCACTGGTTAGGTCAGCATTTATAACCCATCCCTAATTGTAAAATGGATAGTTAAGGAGTCAACCACATTGCTCTGGGCCTGGAGTTACACGTAGCTAGACAGATAAGAATGACTGATTTCTTTCCCTAAAGGACATTAGAATGATTAGATGACAAAGTAGGAAATAAGGCACAGAATTTATCCTTGTTTACAGATCTCAGCTTCCTAACCACTAGCCCAGTGTCACAGCAGTCTCTCTTTATATTTGGTCAAAGACCATAAATCAATACCTGTCCCTGATTATGCTTAAAACCAACTAGAAAATTGAACATGACATTAACACTATCGCTAGCTCAAAGACCTAAAACGCAAGCCTGGGGGGGAAGGTTGACCCTAAGTCCAGGAAAGAACAGAACCTGATTCCAGGCCAAATTGCCCTCCAATCTGTTACCAGCTCCTCTTACAGCAGTTTTCCTGCCGAATCCAGTCAGTGCTCAGGATCCCCCTCAAACGACATGCTTCTCCGTATGCTGCCAGTGAGCTGCAGATTTGTGATCTTTCATCCCAGTAACAAGTATCTAATCCACAGGATGTGTAAAATGGCATTGGGTTGATGAAGCCATAACACGGCTGGAAGAATCCCTTCATTTCAGTGAGTTTCAGGCACCTTCCTTCGTTCTGTAACTGGATGATGTCCTGATTATCACAAGTGAGTGATAATGCAGTGTATTGATCTTCATCACAACTGTGGGATACACAGAGCTGGTCAATATACTCACAAAAGAAAGAAGAAATCAGATTTTCTTCCTAAAGTCTTAATAATAATTCAGGTGCGAAATTAGGGAGTCAAAATAGTGGAAATAAGAACTGCAATAGAGTCCTGAAGGAGGTTCTATCAATTATTACTCATTGTAATACATCCAAGTTTGCAGACGACCCAAAGTTGAGTTGAGGGTGAGCTGTGAGGAAGATGCAGAAATGCTTCAGTGTGATTTAGACAAGTTGAGTGAGTGGGCACATTCATGGCAGATGGAAGATAATGTGGATAAATATGAGATTATCGACATCAGGAGCAAAAACAGAAAGCAGATTATTATTGGAATATACATCAAGACTTGGGTAACTTAAGCATTGATGGTGCACCAGGCAGTCAGGGAAGGCAAATGGTACATTAGCCTTCATAATGAGAGGATTTGAGTTCAGGAGCAGGGATGTCTTGCTGCAATTGTACAGGGCCTTGGTGAGACCACATCTGGAATATTGTGCAGTTTTGGTCTCCTTATCTAAGGAAGGATGTTTTTGCTATAGAGGGAGTGCAGCAAAGATTTATCAAATTGATTCCTGGAATGACAGGACTGACATAATGAGGAACACTTGAATTGGTTAAGATTGTATTCACTGGCATTTCAAAGAATAAGGAGGGATCACATAGCAATCTTTAAATTTTAAGAGGACTAGATAGATTAGTTGTAGGAAGAATGTTCCCAGTGATGGGGGAGTCCAGAACCAGGGGTCACAGTCTAAGGTTACAGGGTAATCACTTAGGAGTGAGGAAACATCTTTTTCACCCAGAGTGAGGAGCCTGTGGAATTTGTTACCATAGGAAACAATTGAGATCAAAACATTGAGTGATTTAGAGAAGGAGTTGGATATAGCACGTGGGACTAAAGGGTTCAAAGGATATGGGGAAAACTGAGTTTGATGATCAGTCATGACCATAATGAATAGCAAAGCAAGTCTAAAGGACTGAATGGCCTACTTCTGCTATTTTGTATGTAATAAGGGCTCCAAGTATAATACTAGAAAGTTCGGTGGAAAAGAAAGCTGTGAGAAGGATGCAAAGGCTGATTGAGTAAGAAAGTGTCAGATAGAGTGAACTCATCCATTTTGATAGGAAGACTGGAAAAGCAGATTTTTTTTAGAAAGGTGAGAAGTTAATTGAAGATTGGTACTCAGTTGTTTGGGTGTTCTTGTATGCAAATTATATAAAGTTACCATTGAGGATTTTGCTAATACAAGGAATAAATAGTTTGGAGACCAGATTGACTGAGTATATCTCTACAATGTGAACTGGTGAATTTAGTGAGTACAGGAATTCCATACAAATACATAAGAGAAGCTCTTCAAGAACAGTCAAAGAGAGGGCGTAAGAGATAGCGAGACCTGATAATCGAATTCTAGAGCTATAATTGGGTAAAAAGGTAGTGATTTGTTGGCAGATTTTACAGTTATAAACCAGTATAAACTTTTTATAAACTAGAGCAATAGTTTAAACTGAGATATAAGCACTGTATTAAATTTATAACTTGTCAAACTACTGAATAGTACATAACACAGTTTTTGAATGATTCGCAAAATGTGAAACCCTAATTTGTTCTGTTAGTTGAAGTACAATTGAAATGACTTGTCATGTGATGGGTTACAGCTGTAACATATGGGAGCTGCTGACTAGCTGTGAGACCCATGGTATTCATATCTCAGTGACTGCAGTTCAAGGAACATCAGATCCAACACAGCAATGAATCAGAAAGGGAGGAAGTTACTGGAAACTTTTTTCCAGGACCAGTGACACCCCTTAAGTTAAGTACTTCACATTCTATAGTATAGGACTTAGATATTATTTAAAAACAAGAAAGTGTTATTGAAGTATTTTGTCTTGCATTCATTAGGACAATTGCAAGAATGCTGACACATTGAAGCGTTCAACTTTGTTTTACCTGCAAACTCAAAAGGTGATACTTTCTCCTTAACCAATCAGAGTCAACTTGCAAACCAATCAACACCCTTTTCTACTGATTATCAAATTTCGAACATTCTTGTTTTTGTCCTGATGAGTGCAAGACAAAAACAAAATTCAGCAAAATGATTGTTTTCAGCAATATTTCATAATTGCCTCTTGGTCAGGAACAGGAAAGTGTGACTGTGAGTGAGGCAGATATGGGGACCCAAAAAGTAACACTGGAGACCAATTTGTTGCATTTGTGTGGATGAGAGCAGGGACCAGAGGTTTTACCTTTAACGAAGCCATGTTGATTCTGCCTGATTTATATTTTAATTTTCTAAATGCCCTGCATCTACCTCCTTAATAATGGATTCTGTCAATGTGTGACAGATGTTAAGATGTAGTAGGAACTGCAGATGCTGGAGAATCTGAGATAAGAAGGTGTAGAGCTGGATGAACACAGCAGGCCAAGCAGCATCAGAGG